ATCTTACCATGTTTCAGTGCAGGTTATTGTCTGGTTTTATGCTCTCAATAAAATTTTCTTATCTACATAGTTTAATTTAAAGGACTCGTCGTTTACATTTAGGATATGCTTTCCTTTGTGGTTGTTTTCTAATATAGGTGTAGATATGTGGAGCGGTTAATTTTTGCAAGTACCATATATCTGCTCCTGAGCAGTTTGATTTCATGGTACTGAGTGATTGGTAGTTCCAATATTACTGTGGAGGACAAGCAGTCACGCGGCAAACTAAGTATGTTTCATTCATAAGTAACACTGTGAATGCAAAGACAATTTGTATGATAATACGTGTTCAATCTAATTGAAATATATATCTCTGATTTCGTTATATACTCATACATTTGTACTTATATGTACGAGCTCAGCACGCGAGTTAATATAGATATGAATTTTAATAAGATTGATACCTTTTTTACCAATTACTGTTTCATAACCGATTATCTGTTAGCATATAAATATACCTTTATATCAATTTTCTTTGAAATGCTAATACAAAAAGATTTTGTTCAAAATTTTGATTGATTGATACTAAGTTTTAACACAATCATTCTCAATGTTCACTAAAAAAAATAATATTCATATCTTAATTAATAAGATAAGATAAGATAAGAGAAGATATTTTATTGGTTTAAAATCCAAAATTATAGGATTATTACCAAGACATATACATAAACATACAAACATATATCTGACCATATTTATAATCATTGTATACATATTTGTATATCCCCTCCATTGTTAAAAGAAAATATTACAATAATAAATGTATATAATCTCTGCTGAGGAGGTGGTACCAAAAGTTATTTAGTACTCAATAAAGCATTTCTAGAATTGTACATGTCGCTTATGAATTTTACAATAATTCTAATTATATCAGTCTCACCGCAAACATACAAAAATTTAAATCTTGCTTCATTAGTCATATTTAAAAAAGAGGAAACTATTTCACTAATTTGGGAAAATAATTGTTCTCTAATTGTATTAAGTTTTGTACATTTTATAGTGAAATGAAATTCATCTTCTACTTCTAAAAGACACAAGGGACAAATTCTTTCTTCTTCAGGAGTTTTAGTGTGTCGACCTTGTCCAATTTTAAGAACACTATTACTTATGCGAATTTTGGCAAAATATCCTATTACTTTTCTATCAATATTTAACAATAAATAGGTTTCCAATTTGTAATTTTCTTTAAGCTGTCTTTATGTTCTGAGCTTATTACCGTGCAATGATTTATCATCACAAAAAAATATTTTCTTTCCAATAATTCAGATATCTATCATTAAGTTTGGTATGAAGTGCATATAATAAACGCCTTTTTGAAATAGAATCATGATTTTCCCTAACATGTGAAAAATTTAATGTAGCTCGTAACTGTTCAATCTTTTTTTGCAAATCCATTGGTTAATTGAAGTTTTGAACTATATACATCTGTAAGTAAACAATTATTACCAGATTTTATCACATGCAACCAGAAGCCAATTGACAGTTTTAAAGCTTCTATAAAAACTGGATACATACCAAGTTCAGCTAGTACTGCTAAATTGACAGCTGTTTTATTTACTCCAATTAAAGTTTTTGCAAATTTAATCTGAATTTTAATGGTAGCCAATGACCAATATTTTGACTCTAGATTTATAATATCTTTAATTATATATAGAGACCAAACTTCACTACAATAAAGAAGTATAGGTTTAACACAAGCATCAAAAAGCTTTAGGTGAGGTAAAACATTAATATCTTCAGAAAATAACAGTTTTCTGATACAAAATATAGCTTTTGAGGCTTTTTTATAAAGAAGTCTCACTGCCTCAGTAAAACTACCAGAGGGTTTAAACAGTATACCCAAATATTAATATTCTGTACAGTGTTCAAAAACATTATCATCAAAAACAAACTTGTCTTTTGTAATTTTTTTACCAGATTTGTTAAAAATCATCTTTGGATTTGTCAAGATTTACTGTTAAATCCCAACTAGTGCAATATAAACTTAGCTTATCAAGGCATTTTTGTAGGTCATTAGCAGTTTCAGAAATAAGAACTAAATCATCAGCATATAACAGACATGAAATATCATTATCATTTAACTTGGGTGGTTCACATGTGGAGTCAAAAATAGTGGGTAAATCATTAATATGTAAAGAAAATAATGTGGGGCTTAAAATACACCCTTGTTTTACCCCAACTGTGGAATTAAAATCAGTGACACCTTCAGAGATCATCACGGAGTACAAAACCTCTTTATACATATCTCTCATTATACCGAAAAAGGGACCATCTATGTTGTAATAAGACAATTTGTAAAAGAGAGCCTCTCTTTTAATAGTATCAAATGCCTTCCTGAAATCAATGAAACAGGCATATATCTTTTTTGACGATTCAAATGCTTTATCAATTATAGTTTTAAGAGTTAAAACATGATCACTTGTTCGACTTCCCTTTCTGAATCCAATTTGCTCACGACAAATAATTTGATTTCCTTCAAGATATTTTTCTAATCTGCTATATAGAACTTTAAGAAAAAAAATCCTAAACAACTTGAAGTAATTAATATGACGAACTACAACTGTTGTTCAAAATTGTGTTACATTCCTACTCATCCTTTGGATATTAAACGTTAACAAAAAAGTTTCTCATTTTTTTTAATTTTTACCAGAAATGATTTCCTAATTCTCACCAATGCACATCATTTTTTGAATTTTTATCATCCCAAGTATGGCATAGTATATATTACAGAATACAACTATATCAAATTTCTTTGAAATGCTAGCACAATAAGTTATTTTTTTCAAAAATTTTTTGTTCACAAAAGCTAAGTTTTACCACTATTTCAAGGCCCCAAATGTTCACCTAAAAATATTCACATCTACGCATAAACCACAATAACTGTACACTATCGTGTTCCAGTCTGAAGTTATTTCTAAATCAATTTTCCAATTTTCACAAAAAAATATTCTATAAATATAAGGAGATGTGGTATAATTGAAAATGAGACAACTCTCCACCAGAATTTAAATGAGGTGGATGTAGGCAATATTAAGCCACACTACGGTCTTTAACAATGAAAAAAACAAACCATACCATATATTCGGCTATCAAAAACACCGACAAGAAAAATATAAAATATTCAATTGAAAAAACTAACGACCTAATTTATTACAAAACATTTATATTGAATGAACTAAACGAGTTTTAGAGAAGAAAACATGATCATATCAATTTTCTAAACTTATTGTGTACCTGGTAGTTGCCTGCAGACAATTAATGTTTTGATGTAGTAGTGCTTTATGTTTGTGTGCTATATCTGCCTATATGTTTTATATAAAAATAAAGAAATGTGGTATGATTGCCTATAAGTGACAACTATCCACCACAGTTCAAATGACTGAGTGGATGTAAGCAATTGTCGGCAACCGTACGACCTTCAACAATGATGAAATTTAAATCGTATAATCGGCAATAAAAGGCCTCAACGTGAAAAATATGAAACAATTCAATTGAAATAAAATGCTCCGCTGGGCGCAGCTTGATACGACCGCAGAGGTCGAACCCGGTACAGTTGGGGCAAGTATGGACACAACATTCAAGCTTGATACAGCACTGAATTTGGATTGTAATTAAATATTTGACACAGCATAGGTTTCTGACACAGAATGAATGTGGTGTAAGAAATTAAAAATTTTAATTTACCTATTCAAACCATATCATTGTTATTTGCTTTTACATATAAATCAGAAATAACCAATTAAAAATGGAAAATTTTAACGAAAAAAAAAAGAAAAAAAGGAAAAAAAAAATCCCTCCCCCAAATTTTTTGAACCCCCTTATGATTCATCACCCCCAAACTCAATCCCAGCCTTCCCTTTGTGGTATGGTACCTTGCAGTACAATTTCAGAGAGATCCATACTCTTGAACACAAGTTATTGTCTGGAAATTAGAAAAATGCTTGTTTTTAGGCCCCTTTTTGGCCCCAAATTCCTAGACGTTTAGGGCAATTACCCCCAAACTCAAACCCAGCTTTCCCTTTGTGATATGGAACCTTGTAGTACAATTTCATAAAGATCCATACACTTACACACAAGTTATTGTCATGAAACTAGAAAAATTCTCTTTTTTTTTTTGCCCCTTTTTTGGCCCCTAATTCCTAAAATTTTGAGGCAATTACCCCATAAATCAATCCCAGCATTCCCTTTGTGATATGGAACCTTGTGGTACAATGTCAGAGAGATCCATACACTAACACACAAGTTATGTCTGGAAGTTACAAAAATGCTTATTTTTGGCCCCTAATTCCTTAACTGTTTGTACCATAACCCCCAAAATCAATCCCAACCTTCCTTTTGTGGTATTGAACCTTATGGTAAAATTTCATAGAGATCCATTCACTTAAACTAAAGTTATTGTGTGAAAACCAATGTGTCTTCGGACGACGACGACGACGACGCCAACGTCATACCAATATACGACCGCAAATTTTTTTTGCGGTCGTATAAAAACTAACGGCCTACTTTATTACAAAACAGTCTACCAAAAACAAATATGACAGACAATTGCAAGAACCAACGAAAACCACTGAATTACAGCGGCTCCTCACAGGGACATATAGGATGTGGCGGGGTTAAACAACCTTCCCCTAACCTGGGACAGTGCTTTATGTGCCTTTACTATTGATTGTTAAAATGCATTTTTAATATTTCAGCATAGCATAACATCAATACCTTTTTCATGTCATTTATATACGGTATGCGGTCTGCCTCATGTCATGCTTTGCTTAAAAAATGTAGTTATTGTGTGATTGATGTGATTGATGTGGTTGATTTCTTTTAAGCGTGTATTTTTAAATGGTTTCTTTGTACTAAGGTGATATAAAAGATCAATAGAGCTTATGATTCCTGCATATATTAATACACTTATTTTCGTCTTTAAAAAGCTTTTGAACTTTGAACTTGAACTTTTGATTCCTGGTTCGTATTTGAATACTTAAATTGGCACTTTCGTTGGTGCAGTTCCGGTGTAAACAAACCAAAAATATTCAATATGATATTCGGATACTAAGAAAAGATGTGGGTTTTTGGTTATGGTTCTCTTATATGGAAAGTTGATTTCCCCTATAAGAGAACATTAAAAGGTTATATAAAAGGCTTCCATAGACGATTCTGGCAGGGAAGTACTGATCACAGGGGTATCCCTGGAAAGGTAAGCATTCACCAAGATGCACACTCATTGACTCAAGTTTGTGCAATTTATAGTTATCATTATTCATAGAATAACTGTTATCTTTCTTACGATTTTATCATGGAACAAATTTCTCGAATAATAAATCATTCTGAAATATACAAAAACATTCAAATATACGTTTTTAAATTATGTACGTGTTGTAGTTGTAACAATCCTGGGGACTGGTCAAGATTTAGAACTTTCTGTAGAAAATCCCTTGCTCATGCTCATCCTTGTGATTCCACCTAAAAATAAGATAAGCTATACATTTGTGTACTTGTATTTCGAGTGATAAATGGAAATTGGGTCAATAAGTTAAGGAACAACCTAATTAACTGACCAAATTCACCAGTCATCATCACATGCTTATTTATTCATTATTAATTGTAGAAATTATAAATAATTATATTATACAAATGCAATAGTCTCAGATCAGACAACTAATGTCACATTTTTATTATTTAGAAGGAGATGTTTGAATGAACCTACTAATTAATAGAGTGGGTGGCGCATATTCGCCTTGGACACATTTTCGCCGTTTTGCTATTTTTTCTGTAAAATGTGTGTGCCTTTACCCAATACTTGCCTAAATAGATGGTAAAGGCTGTCTGTAATGTTACAACTGTTGATATTCCTCTTTACCCCATTTCCAAGGTTATTCGCACATATTGAGAAATACGCAGTTGTTTTTTATATACTGATTTTGGCAATTATGTAAGATTTATATGCGCAGTCTTAAAGTAAATATTTGTGAGAAAAATCGAATAGGAATGATCTCTCAAGCCAATTCATGTAATTGCAAACATTCGTTTTTATAATATACCAGGATAATGAGGATGGTCATATCATACATTGCGGCGAAAATGTGTCCCCCATGGTACACGAACAACTGGATTTCCTCGTGAGTTTTCGTTCGTTTTTAGAATAATTTACCAATGTTTTGAAGATAATTTCTTTATCAAACATTTTTTTCATATAGTTAAATTTCTGAAACCTTCATAAAAAGTTCCAAATATTCGAATGTAGGTCGGATGTAAGTGGAAATGAACGAATTGTGCGGCGAATATGGGTCTCTCACTTTAATTAAGTCAGTCATACAATTTGGTCTTTTCACCACCGAACACTCCAAAAATTAACATTTTTTTCATTTATCGTTAATATAACATGACCTTAAATAATAATATTTTAGTTAATAGTTCTACAAATACTGAGAAAAAGAGACCAAATATCAACAAAGAACAGAAAAAAAGAGAGTCTAAAACACCTTTAATTTCTTTTTACATTATAAACTCGACCTAGCTGTAATATATTATTTTAAAAATAGTTTGAACTTTATTTGAATTGTATTATCAGAAAAAAGGGTTTTGATAAATTTCACTGGATTTGTTGTGTATTTAACTTTCTAATTTTAGTTTTGTTTATTAAAATAAAATAATAATAAAACATTTGTGTTTGAAAGCTGTTTACAACTATCAAGGTTTGTATACAGAAAAAAACCAAACTATTGACAGGTAAACACAACAGTTTTTGCTATGAATATTATTAGATTAATTAAACAATAACCACCCACTAATGAGGTCTATGTTGAAAAATTGAAAAGAACAGATGTCTACTATTACTCAGTCACGCTATCAAAAGAAACGGAACATTAAAAGAAGCCTAAATAGCTTGTTTGTTTTGTTAAGAATGTCCCCCAAAAAAAAAAAAATTTCACATTTTTGTTTTGTTAGCAATGTCCCAAACCTTCTGTAAAACAATTGAAAAGTGAAACCATAAAGTATTGTAATCACAGTCGCTTCCCGTAAATGTTATTAAGCCATCTTTAATTTCCGATCATTATAATTGAACACTATTTAATTTCCTGTTAATATCATTGGTCAGATTAACAATTGGTTCCAAAACCTAAAGAAATCTACCAAAAGATATAATATATTGACCGAACAAGAAATATATCTTAAAAATCTCACAAATTTATTCCTTAAAGTATCAAAAGTTTATCAGTGAAGTAAAAATGCCTAAACGCAGAATTTCGTACATAAAATGGTCGGTTTTCTGGCCCTGTGGTGACTGTAGACAGAATTGAACGAAGAACCTGTACAATGCGATTCTTGCAACTCATGGTACCACTATGACTGCCAACAATTATCACTACCAGATATCAACTTATTGTTAACATCAAACGATTCCACATTCTCCTGTTTGAACTGAAGTAGGATCACCCTACTCTCATTCGTCTGGTTTACTTGGTGTTAATTGGTAATTATTTGTTTTAAACAAAATCTATTGAGATATTCTAGCTGCTTTATAATTTGTTTAAAAAATTTATAGTTCATTTGCACAATTCTTCTTTATCAATTACGGTTAATCTTGTTAAGTGAATCTACGTTGAATTTGTTTAATCTGCTTATCATTGACGCGTGTTAAGTTGTAATTGAATTATTTCTTTTAAAGTAAGCTTCTTTATTGTTAATTGCGATTAATCATGATAGGTGATTAATACGTTTTCTTTATTATCACAGACGTGCGTCAAACTGGTGTCATCCTGGTTTGCCCACTTTTAATTGCAGGTTTATAAAAACATAGGATGTTTTGTTGTTTTAACAATTATAGTTTATTTCTGAATTATACTCATATTTTTTACCTTTATTTTACCTGTAAAATTTTATAAAACATACTTAATTCTGCTATTAAATCAAGGAAAAAGTGCAAAAATATTTTGTATTTTATATTTTTTAACAGGAAAATGTATTGAATTTGTCAAATATAAAAAAAAATGTATACAAAAATGTTTATTATTTTGACAATTTATCAACAAATTGTTTTCATTGTTGGTAAATTCTAAAAAAAAAATGTAAAAAGTAAATTAATGAAACTGAAGATTTAAATAAGTGTCATTTAAATTTCTTTTCATTTATTCACCTTATTTATTTTTTTTAAATTTTGATAAATGCACTGTTCTGAAATTTAATATAAAAAAATATCCAATTAATTCTAACAAATAAAATACAAATGCAACTGTTCATATTACTCCTGCAAGACAGCACTCTATCACCAACTGTTCAGTAGCCAAGCTTAACATATTACTCTTGCAAGACAGTACTCTATCACCAACTGTTCAGTAGCCAAGCTTTACATATAACTCCTGCAAGACAGCACTCTACTACCAACTGTTCAGTAGCCAAGCTTTACATATTACTCCTGCAAGACAGCACTCTATCACCAACTGTTCAGTAGCCAATTGCAAGCTTTACATATTACTCCTGCAAGACAGCACTCAACCACCAACTTTTCAATAGCCAAGCTTTACATATTACTCCTGCAAGACAGCACTCCATCACCAACTATTCAGTAGCCAAGCTTTACATATTACTCCTGCAAGACAGCACTCTTCCACCAACTGTTCAGTAGCCAAGCTTTACATATAACTCCTGCAAGACAGCACTCTACCACCAACTGTTCAGTAGCCAAGCTTTACATATTACTCCTGCAAGACAACACTCTATCACCAACTGTTCAGTATCCAAGCTTTACATATTACTCCTGCAAGACAGCACTCTATCACCAACTGTTCAGTAGCCAATTGCAAGCTTTACATATTACTCCTGCAAGACAGCACTCAACCACCAACTGTTCAATAGCCAAGCTTTACATATAACTCCTGCAAGACAGCACTCTACCACCAACTGTTCAGTAGCCAAGCTTTACATATTACTCCTGCAAGACAGCACTCTATCACCAACTGTTCAGTATCCAAGCTTTACATATTACTCCTGCAAGACAGCACTCTATCACCAACTGTTCAGTAGCCAATTGCAAGCTTTACATATTACTCCTGCAAGACAGCACTCAACCACCAACTGTTCAATAGCCAAGCTTTACATATTACTCCTGCAAGACGGCACTCCATCACCAACTGTTCAGTAGCCAAGCTTTACATATTACTCCTGCAAGACAGCACTCTACCACCAACTGTTCAGTAGCCAATTGCAAGCTTTACATATTACTCCTGCAAGACAGCACTCTATCACCAACTGTTCAGTAGCCAAGCTTTACATATTACTCCTGCAAGACGGCACTCCATCACCAGCTGTTCAGTAGCCAAGCTTTACATATTACTCCTGCAAGACAGCACTCTACCACCAACTGTTCAGTAGCCAATTGCAAGCTTTACATATTACTCCTGCAAGACAGCACTCTATCACCAACTGTTCAGTAGCCAAGCTTTACATATTACTCTTGCAAGACAGCACTCTACCACCAACTGTTCAGTAGCCAAGCTTTACATATTACTCCTGCAAGACAGCACTCTACCACCAACTTTGTGAATATAATGTTTTGTGACTTTTGAAATATATATAAAAGATTGAAAAACCATAGTGCTTTATTTATTTCCTTATGCAATGCATGTATAAATTTGATTCATATTAATAATGAATTATCAAGACACTTTTATAAATGAATGTTATTGTTTTTTGCCAAATACCGGTAATATCCTGTTCCCAAGTGCCTATGCTCCAAGCTCCCAAATTACAAAATTGTTCAGATAAAGGGTCCTTTTTGTCCATAATAAAAAGACAAAATTTTCCTTAAACGACATTTTATTGTAATATTATTTGAAAGGTATTTGTAGTTCTCCAAGCTCCCAAATTACAATATGGTTCAGTAAAATAATATTCTGATAAAGGGTCGTTTTTGTCCAGAATAAAAGGACAAATTTTCCCTTAAACGATTCTTCATTGTAATAATGTTTGAAAGACAATTAATTGCCTTTAAGCTCCATACCAAGATTTTGCAAAATTAAAAATTAATCGGAAAAATGGTAGTTTTTAATAATATATGAATTTATTATACATACAATTAATTTTCCCTTCTTTTCAATAGGCTTCCCAGAGTGGTTAACTTATGATGCCTTTGTATATACAACTAAGAGAGAAAATTTTGTAATGCCAAAAGATCAGACTACAGAAACAACACATGGCGAACCCAACACTCTCAGTACAAATAACTTAGGCAAGTTATCATGCATCAGCAGAATATGTCAAAAATTGGTGTGGAAGTAAAAGAACGCAATCAACTAATATATATCATTTTTGGGAAAGACAGGGTAGTTAATGCAGACAACACTAGATTATGAAGATCAGTCAAGTAGCTTCAAGGAGCAAATTGACCAGTATCCGAAGCTTGCCCAATACTTCACTGACAACTTAAAACCACGAATAAAAACATTTGTTAATGAACCTAGGCAACACAAGAAAGAGAGATCTGAAAAACTCTGGACTAACAACAATGCTGAAAGCATAAACTATGTCTTCAAAGTTGCAATTAATTGGAAACCACAGTCTACTCCAGATTTAATAAAAAAAACTTTACGACTGTGCTGGTACAGTTTGTACACCTGAGAGGCTGTCTTCATGGCCAAAGTGACTACAAGTTAATCTCTAGTGAGGGCCATTATTTGACCTCTGATCAACTCTGGCGGTGCAAAACAGAAGAAGAAAAATGCACATTATTGGACAATTATTTACAAGACAAGAAACGAAAAAGGAAAATAGCCATGATAAGTTCATCAGATTGGAAGTTTTCTGTGTAAATAAGGCGAAAACAATTGCCAAGAAACCTTGTCAAAGGAAAAGACCAAAAAATGAGAGGACAAAAAAAAGAAAGACACTATGTTTCGAACATGTAGTAAAACATTTAATATGCATAGTCATTGAAGTAATAAATAATTTTATGAAAATATTAGTCACTTGTATTTGTTTGTAATAAGCTAACACGGAAGGATAACATGAAATTGACAGAATGGCAAAGCAGACCCAAAAATAAAAATATAATAGAAAAAAAACTCTACACAGGACAAAACAGACTGCCTTTAATCATATACAGGCATATTAAAGCTCAAATAGGTAATATAGTTTAAGTTAAGACATCAACAACACATCATAGTTACATAAATTTTACAAATGGGATAAAACAATTAAAATATGTACTTCGGTGTTCAGTGGTGAAAAGACCGACCCCATCGTTAGTCGGTCTGTTAATTTGGAAGAACTTTTGTCACTTGAAACTAACGAAATGTACAGCTTTATATGCTTAAGTCATTTGTCAACTACATTTTTTTGTTATATATTCATATAAAACTATGTTTTTTTTTTTTTCAAAAAATATTGTGAGATCTAAACTAATGGGATTTTAGTTAAATTTGTACCAATAGAAGCATAATTGTCACAGGTTAATTTGTTTATATTTTTGTTGTGAGAATTTCTCATTTCTGATGATATAAACATAAACATAAGTACATGTATTATTTTTGTTCTGAATTTGCTATATATTTCAATTAAAAATAAATTATAAATAATAATATTCATGTTCACATAATTAGAAAACAAAAACTACTGAAGGCATTTTCCTGACAATCTTATGACCAAATAAACAAATAGACTCCAGACAATTCTGTGTCTTTCAACACATGGTTTGTTAAAACCCAGCCATATAAAATGACTTCAAAATATTTTTTTAAAATAAATAAAATTGCATAAAACTGTTAATCAGAGATGTTTTACAGCTTGTACTGTTAAACAAAATATATTATTTGTAAAATTTAGCTTTAATATGAAACAATCAATAATTAAGACAAATATATATATTAATATAAATTTATATCTTGAGTTATTATCTTTTTATAGCCTGGAAGAGTAGTAACCTTAGTCAAGTCCAACAACCCTGATGTAGGTATACTATTGCCCCAACAGTTATTATTTGCAACAACTGTTAAAATAAGGCTTGCATTCTGTACACATTCAGTTTCTGTTCGGTAATTTTCTTGTTGGTCATAGTTTAAGTTTGTTACTTACTTACAAAAGTACATGAAGGCATCAGTGTTCAAATACATATAAAAAGAAACAAATAGAAGAAAGAAAATATGCAAACAAATGCAAGGACTGTTTTAAAAAAGACAAAAAAAACCAGACCAAAGTACATACATGTACAGGTACTTGCCTGAAAAGTTATTTTGTGGAACCTATATATTTAAAAGTGACACAAAGAGAAAAACACAAAAATGTGTACACAACACATTGTTTACAAAATACTGGTGTAATCGAGTAGGACCAACAGCATTATATATTCGTAAATTAATAACATGATTTGTATTATGTTTTATTATATGACTATAAATTTTCTGTTTTCTCATTGGCTAAAAGCATAGAAAATCCTCTTTGATAAAACATTATATTCACCACAGTAAAATCAAGAGAGGTTAATATAAGACTTGGAACAGCGTCCGTGTACCCAAATATAGATATTCCTAGGCAACCTCAATGAAGTAGCTTTATGACGTCATGTAAATTCCTGTTTTTTCTTTTCCTTCTTGTTTATGGTGTATTTTTTTTCTCTTCGTCTTGTTTTCGTTGTATTTATTTTTAGTAAACTTTATTAAATATTTCAACTTACTGCAAAAGCAGATGAAATATTTAGTAAAAAAATAGGGATCAGTTTTAAAAGTAGCTTGAGCAAATACTAGAAAATTGTAGAAGAATTATAAAGTCATATAATAAAACAATTGTTGACTTGATTTCAGTTGATACAATGATTTATCAACCCCAGAGATATGACATTCCGCCTCGGCCATTGGCCTCTGTAAATATATCTCTGGGGTTGATAAATCATTACATCAACCTCATCAAAAGTCAATAATTGTATAAGGTAACATGCTTTATTGATATATAATTGTCATTGAAACAAATGTTAATAAATATATGATGATATCACAGGAATAAATATCATAAATGAAGAAAGACAAACACAATGGCGAACAGAAAAAGGATGAAAAGACAAGTCCATTAAACACTACCATGTACATAGAAAAAAACAAGTTTAAGCAATTTAAGTATCACCATGATCACTGTGACCAAAAACTGGAGATGAAGTCTGATGCTGTGGAAGGTAAGCATGTCCAGCTTTCTTTGTTCCACCTGTTGTGATGATCTGGAAGGGTTAGCAGCTCCAGCTTAATTGTTCCACATGTTGTGATGCTCATGGAGATCCCCTTGGTCATATAAAGTAAGAACCTAGTGATATGTAAATTGTTGGTGAGCTCTATTTTTCTTACATGGAAGCATGTAGCAAGCTCAAAGTTTGCTGTCATTAATTTTAGTTGTTGCATGTTAATACCTGCATCTACAAGAAGATAAAACTGTGGCAATGAATTATTGTTCAGCAGCAGTTATTTCAATTTGCAGGCTTTTTACTGAAACACCTAACATTCACATTATCCATTTCAGGAAAAAGTTTGGGGCATTGCTTATGAGATTGCAAATGAACAGATTGATGATGTCACAGCTCATCTAGATTTTCGTGAAAAGAATGGCTATACTCAAACCGAAGTTGTCTTTTATCCTAGCGAGGAAATAGAATCTCCAATACACTTAAAGATCTACATAGGAACTTCAGATAATGAAGAATACCTAGGACCAGCACCAATAGAAGACATTGCCAAACAAATCTACGACTCAGTTGGACCAAGTGGGAAAAATATAGATTATCTACTGAATTTAGCAAATGCAGTGCGACAGTTGTTCCCAGAAGAAACTGATGAACATTTATTTGAATTAGAGAAAAGTGTAAAACATAAACTGAATGAAAGTATAAGACATTAATTAATTATTGTTTTTAAATAAAATTTTACTTTAGGCTTTAGGTTTGAATTCTTTGATACACTTATTACACTATTATCAAAATATAAATCTTTTAATATGAAGTTGTTTTTATACACCCGTTTACGGGACGTATTATGGTATACTGTTGTCAGTCCGTCTGTCTGTCTGTCCGTCCTCAACATGTTGGACATTAACTCAAAAATGCTTTAACCAATTTGCATAAAACTTTGGGGAATTGTTTATATCTATTGACGTGAGCTCTCTTTCGTTTTTTATAAATTTTAGATTTTATGTTTCCGAGTTATGGGGTTTTATTCATTAAAAAAAGGGGGATTTTCCAGTTTTCGGACAATAACTCAAAAATTTGTAAGGGTTCCGCAGAACCCAGTGTCTCGCCTACTTTTGCTGTTAATCGCAGGCTCAACAAAAATGAGGAAAAAAATCAATAAAAATATTCCTTTAGATACTATCTTTTGATTGTAAGAAGCTTCTGTCAAAGTTTGGTATAAATCCAGGATAGTTTATGAATCTAATAAATGTTTTAAAAACTTTAACTGCAGACTGTATTTAATGTTAACTGGAAGAAAAACTAAGTCCATTTATAAGTAAAATAAGGATAAACAAGTACAAAATTTTAACAAAATTTCCTTCAAGATACTAGCTTTTGATCATAAACAAGCTTCTGTCCAAGTTTGGTGCAAATCCAGGATAGTTTAAGAAAGTTATTAAAATTTTAAAAACTTTAACCACAGAGTGAATGTAATGTTTCCCGGCAGAAAAACTAAGTCCATTTACAAGTAAAATACGGAAAAATAGGAATTTTATTTTCACAAAATTCACTTCTGGATACTATCTTATTATCATAAACAAGCTTCTGTCCAAGTTTGGTACAAATCCAGGATAGTTTAAGAAAGTAATTAAAATTTCAAAAACTTTAACCACAGAGTGAATGTAATGTTTCCCGGCAGAAAAACTAAGTCCATTTACAAGTAAAATACGGAAAAATAGGAATTTTATTTTCACAAAATTTACTTCTGGATACTATCTTATTATCATAAACAAGCTTCTGTCCAAGTTTGGTACAAATCCAGGATAGTTTAAGAAAGTTATTAAAATTTCAAAAACTTTAACCACAGAGTGAATGTAATGTTTCCCGGCAGAAAAACTAAGTCCATTTACAAGTAAAATACCGAAAAACAGGAATTTTATATTTACAAAATTTACTTCTGGATACTATCTTATGATCATAAACAAGCTTCTGTCCAAGTTTGGTAGAAATCCAGGATAGTTTAAGAAAGTTGTTAAAATTTCAAAAACTTTAACCACAGAGTGAATATTTGTGGACACCACCGCCGCCGACGGAATGTAGGATCGCTATGTCTCGCTTTTTCGACTAAAGTAGAAGGCTCGACAATAAATGTTTAAAAACTTTAACTGCAGACTGAATGTAATGTTAACTGGAAGAAAACAAAACTTCCTTCTAGATACTAGCATTTGATCATAAACAAGCTTCTGTCCAAGTTTGGTACAAATCCAAAATAGTATAAGAAAGTTATTAAAATTTTAAAAACTTTAACCACAGAGTGAATATGTTGTTTCCTGGCAAAAAATCTAAGTCCATTTAAAAGTAAAATACGGAAAAACAGGAAATAAATTTTTTTACAAAATTTCCTTCATGATACTAGCTTTTGATCATAAACAAGCTTCTGTCCAAGTTTGGTAGAAATCCAGGATAGTTTAAGAAAGTTATTAAAATTTCAAAAACTTGAACCACAGAGTGAATATTTGTGGACGCAGCCGACGACGCCAACGGAATGTAGGATCGCTATGTCTCACTTTTTCGACTAAAGTCGAAGGCTCGACAAAAATGCTTTCACCAATTTGCAAGAAATTTGGTGAATTGTTTATATCTATTGACATGAGCTCCCTTTCCATTTTTATAAATTTTAGATTTTACGTTTCCGAGTTAAGGGGTTTTATCAATTAAACTAGAGGCTCTAAAGAGCCTGTGTGGCTCACCTTGGTCTATGTGCATATTAAACAAAGGACACAGATGGATTCATGACAAAATTGTGTTTTGGTGATGGTGATATGTTTGTAGATCTTACTTTACTGAACATTCTTGCTGCTTACAATTATCTCTATCTATAATGAACTTGGCCCAGTAGTTACAGTGGAAAATACTTTGTAAAAAATTACAGAAATTTACAAAATTTATGAAAATTGTAAAAAATTGACTATAAAGGGCAATAACTCCTTAAGGGGTCAATTGACAATTTTATTTGTAGATCTTACTTTGCTGTACATTATTGCTGTTTACAGTTTATCTCTATCTATAATAATATTCAAGATAATAACCAAAAGCTGCAAAATTTTCTTAAAATTACCAATTCAGGGGCAGCAACCCAACAACGTGTTGCCTGATTGGTCTGAAAATTTCAGGGCAGATAGATCTTGACCTAATGAACAATTTTATCCTTGTCAGATTTGCTCTAAATGCTTTGGTTTCAGAGATATGAGCCAAAAACTGCATTTTACCCTATGTACTATTTTTTAGCGATGTCGGCCATCTTGGTTCGCAGGCGGGGTCATCAGACACATTTTTTAAACAAGATACCCTAATGATGATTGTGGACAAGTTTGGTTAAATTTGTCTTGGTAGTTTCAGAGGAGAAGATTTTTGTAAAAGATTACAAAAATTTACGAAAAATGGTTAAAAATTGACTATAAAGGGTAATAACTCCTTAAGGGGTCAACTGACCATTTTGGTCAAGTTAGCTTAATTGTAGATCTTACTTTGCTGAACATTATTGCTGTTTACAGTTTATCTCTATCTATAATAATATTCAAGATAATAACCAAAAACGGCAAAATTTCCTTAAAATTACCAATTCAGGGGCAGCAACCCAACAACGGGTTGTCAGATTCATCTAAAAATTTCAGGGCAGATAGATCTTGACCTGATAAACAATTTTACCCCGTCAGATTTGCTCTAAATTGCTTTGGTTTCAGAAATATAAGCCAAAATTTACATTTTACCCCTATGTTCTATTTTTAGCCATGGCGGCCATCTTGGTTGGTTGGCCGGGTCACTGGACACATTTTTTAAACTAGATACCCTAATGATGATTGTGGCCAAGTTTGGTCAAATTTAGCCCAGTAGTTTCCGAGGAGAAGATTTTTGTAAAAGTTTAGGGACGATGGACGCCAAGTGATGAGAAAAGCTCACTTGGCCCTTTGGGCCAGGTGAGCTAAAAAAAAGAGTGGAAAACTGATTATTTGAGTGAATTTTTCAAAGTCCAAGACCCATAACTCTGCACAAAATCATCAGACAGGAACAAAATTAGAACTTGATCTGAAACGTGTTATGATAAAACAATACTCCAAATATCAAATCAATATCTTCAAGCAAGAAGAAACTAGAGGCTCTCAAGAGCCTGTGTCGCTCACCTGTATTTACTGATGCTTTGGAAATCATGTAAAATAAGGTTAAAATCATAATTAATAGTATTAGATATTAGATATTATAATGATATCTTAGATAATAACAAATAAAATGCTTCGCTGGGCGCAGCTTGATACGACCGCAGAGGTCGAACCCTGAACAGTTGGGGCAAGTATGGACACAACATTCAAGCTTGATACAGCACTGAATTTGGATTGTGATTAAATATTTGACACAGCATAGGTTTCTGACACAGAAAGAATGTGGTCTAAGAACTTCAATTTTTTTAATTTACCTATTATGGTCCAATGTCTAAAATCAAAATACATGGTTAGATTCAGCATATCAAAGAACCCCATATATTCAATTTTTGTTGAAATCAAACAAAGTTTAATTTTGGACCCCAACATGGACAAACTTGAAAACTGGTCCCATAATCAAAAATCTAAACACATGTTTAGATTCAGCATATCAAAGTACCCCAAGAATTCAATTTTTGTTAAAATCAAACTAAGTTTAATTTTGGACCCTTTGGACCTTAATGTAGACAATTTAAAAAACGGGACCCAAAATTAAAAATCTAAAAACATGGTTAGATTTGGCATATCAAAGAACCCCAATAATTCAATTTTTGATGAAATCAAACAAAGTTTAATTTTGGACCCTTTTGACCTCAATATGAACCAATTTGATAGCGGGCCCACAAATAAAAAATCTAAATACATGGTAAGATTCAGCATATCAAAGAACCCCATATATTCAATTTTTGTTGAAATCAAACAAAGTTTAATTTTGGACCCCAACTTGGACCAACTTGAAAACTGGGCCCATAATCAAAAATCTAAACACATGTTAAGATTCAGCATATCAAAGAACCCCAAAAATTCAATTTTTGTTAAAATCAAACTAAGTTTAATTTTGGACCCTTTGGACCTTAATGTAGACCAATTTAAAAAACGGGACCCAAAATTAAAAATCTAAATACACGGTTAGATTTGGCATATCAAAGAACCCCAATAATTAAATTTTTGATGAAATCAAACAAAGTTTAATTTTGGACCCTTTTGACCTCAATATGAACCAATTTGAAAAACGGGGTCCACAAATAAAAAATCTAAATACATGGTTAGATTCAGCATATCAAAGAACCCCATATATTCAATTTTTGTTGAAATCAAACAAAGTTTAATTTTGGACCCCAATTTGGACCAACTTGAAAACTGGGCCAAAAATCAAAAATCTAAATACATGTTTAGATTCAGCATATCAAAGAACCCCATATATTCAATTTTTGTTAAAATCAAACAAAGTTTAATTTTTGACCCTTTGGACCTTAATGTAGACCAATTTGAAAACTGGATCCATTATTAAAAATCTAAATACACAGTTAGATTCGGCATAACAAATAAATAAATGTGGTCAAAGATTTTACAAATCTAATGCGCCATACTGTGCAATTAAAGATTACTTCTTGAAATTTTTCAATATTTGAAATTTGAAAAAAAAATAATATTTGATGAAGAATAATTCTTTTTAATTTCTGAAATCTGAAATGAGAAAAAATTGACCCCCCACAATTTCTTTTTACCCCCCCCCCCCCCCCCCTTTTTTCCCCCAAACCATAATTACCCATTTAAATTTACCATAGTGCTAACTTAATCTATTTTATAATAGAATTTAAAATATAGTGTCAAATCTTTCATATGGATTTTTTTGTAAAAAAAAAAGATGCAACATTTGCAGATATTTTTACTGGTCTTCCTTTATAAATATGCATTTCTTTAAACATAATTTAAAAGCAGTGTAAGGGAAGTAACCAAAACGTTGTATTTGGATTACCTCCCTTACACTGTTTTAAATTATCTTAATTGTTCATTAACCATTACTTTATACATAATTTAAAAGCAGTGTAAGGGAGATAATTTCAATGATGTATTTGATTTATCTCCCTTACACTGCTTTAAATTATGTTTTGTACTAAAGTATTTGTCCATTAACCAGGACAACCTTGTTTTTCCCCCTTTTTTGCCCCTAATTCTTAAACGGTTTGAGCCATAACCCCCCAAAGCAAATCCTAACCATCCCTTTGTGGTATGGAAACTTGTAGTACAATTTCAGAGAGATCCATACACCGTTCCACAGTTATTGTCTGGAAACTAGAAAATGCTTATTTTTGGCCCCTTTTTGGCCCCTAATTCCTTAACTGTTGGTACCATAACCCCCAAAATCAATCCCCACCTTCCTTTTGTTGTATTGAACCTTATGGTAAAATTTCATAGAGATCCATTCACTTAAACTAAAGTTAGAGTGCGAAAACTAATGCGTATTCGGACGACGACGCCGGACGACGACGACGACGCCGGACGACGACGACGACGCCGGACGACGACGACGACGACGACGACGCCAACGTCATACCAATATACGACCACAAAAATTTTTTTGCGGTCGTATAAAAACTGCAAAATTTTTGTAAAATTACTAACTCAGGGGCAGCAACCCACCAACTGGTTGTCGGATTCGTCTGAAAATTTCAAGCAGATAAATCTAAATCTGATGAACATTTTTGCCACCTGTCGGATTTGCTCTAAATGCTTTAGTTTCAGAGATATAAACCAAAAACTGCATTTTACCCCTATGTTCTATTTTTAACCAAGTGGGCCATGATGGTTGGAAGGCAGGGTCATCAGACTTTTTAAACTAGATACCCTAATAATGATTATGGCCAAGTATGGTTAAATTTGTCTCAGTAGTTTCAGAGAAGAAGATTTTTGTAAAAGATTACAAAAATTTACAAAAAATTGTTAAAAATTGACTATTAAGGGCAATAACTCCTAAAGGAGTCGACTGACAATTTTGGTCATGCAACTTATTTGTAGTTCTTACTTTGCTGAACATTATTCCTGTCTACAGTTTATCTCTATCTATAATAATATTCAAGATAATAACCAAAAACTGCAAAATTTCCTTAAAATTACCAATTCAGGGGCAGCAACCCAACAACGGGTTGTCAGATTTGTCTGAAAATTTTTCAGAGATATAAGCCAAAATCTACATTTTACCCCTATGTTCTATTTTTAGCCATGGCCGCCATCTTGGTTGGTTGGCGGGATCATCGGACACATTTTTTAAACTAGATACCCTAATGATGATTGTGGCCAAGTTTGGTTAAATTTGGCCCAGTGGTTTCAGAGGAGAAGATTTTTGTAAAAAGCTAACGACGACGACGGACGCCAAGTGATGAGAAAAGCTCACTTGGCCCTTTGGACCAGGTGAGCTAAAAAAGGGGGATTTTCCAGTTTTCGGATGAGATCACAAAAATGCTTTCAGCAGTTCTCATGAAACTTTGCTGAATTGTTTATATCTATTGACGTAAGCTCCCTTTTGATTTTTTTACATTTTAGATTTTACATTTCCGAGTTATGGGGTTTTATTCATTAAAAAAGGGGGTATTTTCCAGTTTTTCGGACAATAACTCAAAAATGCTTTCAGTAGTTCTCATGAAACTTAGGTGAATTGTTTATATCTATTTACTTAAGCTCCCTTTCGATTTTGATAAATTTCTGATATGACATTGAGAAGTTATTGAAGTTATAAAACGCGACAGGCGTATCATGCGCTCATGGCACAGCTGTTTATTGTCAATTGTAATACTGATATGAAGTAATTATACATGTATAATGGAACTGTGACTTTTATGGTTTAATTTCGGATTGTATGGTTTTGGGTATAAATAAAAGGAGAGAGGTGTCTACACAATACATCAACTTCTAAATTGTTCTGAGTCATTATAGAAAGTGTGAATAAATATATACACTGAATAATATAAAATATGATAGGACTGACCAGGTTCCTGATTTTGGACAGTCACATGAACAATAATTCAGAAATAAAACTAGTTAAGAAGATGAAGATAAATAATATATTGCACAGGAACAATAAAGATGGACGGACAGTTTTAAATAACACTATTCTTGTCATATTATATTCTTGTTCATCCATGATATTTCTCTTGGATCCCACTTTGATATTTCTGAATTTGAGTCAGTGCTAGATTTATTTCCTATTGTATTGGCTACTGGTGGGTTAGGTACTGCAGGGGGTGGCGGTGGTGGAGCAGGTGCCCTTGGTGGTGGAGGTATTGACGGAGCATCAACAGGGCTTGTCACTGATGATCTGGTAAATGCAGTTTCACAAGAATTGTCTTTGCTTTTAGTATTTAATCTGTTTTGTTGACTCAGATTGTCATCTAATGTTGCCCCTGCCAATTTGTTCAACTGAAATTTAATTATATAAATGTTAATAACAATTTAGCAATAATGAAATTATGCAAAGAGACTCACCCTTGCCTGACATAACTATCAGTCATAGTTTACTAACTTCACTTTTTTATACGACCGCAAAAAAATTTTGTGGTCGTATATTGGTATGACGTTGGCGTCGTCGTCGTCGTCGTCGTCGTCGTCGTCCGGCGTCGTCGTCGTCGTCGTCCGGCGTCGTCGTCCGAATACATATTGGTTTTCGCACTCTAACTTTAGTTTAAGTGAATGGATCTTTTTGAAATTTGACCATAAGGTTAAATACCACAAAAGGAAGGTTGGGATTGATTTTGGGGGTTATGGTACCAACAGTTAAGGAATTAGGGGCCAAAAAGGGGCCAAAAATGAGCATTTTCTAGTTTCCAGACAATAACTGTGGAACGGTGTATGGATCTCTCTGAAATTATACTACAAGTTTCCATACCACAAAGGGATGGTTAGGATTTGCTTTGGGGGGTTATGGCTCAAACCGTTTAGGAATTAGGGGCAAAAAAGGGGGAAAAACAAGGTTGTCCTGGTTAATGGACAAATACTTTAGTACAAAACATAATTTAAAGCAGTGTAAGGGAGATAAATCAAATGCATCATTGAAATTATCTCCCTTACACTGCTTTTAAATTATGTATAAAGTAATGGTTAATGAACAATAAAGATAATCTAAAACAGTGTAAGGGAGGTAATCCAAATACAACGTTTTGGTTACTTCCCTTACACTGCTTTTAAATTATGTTTAAAGAAATGCATATTTATAAAGGAAGACCAGTAAAAATATCTGCAAATGTTTTCATCTTTTTTTTTTACAAAAAAATCCATATGAAAGATTTGACACTATATTTTTATTAATTAAATTATAAAATAGATTAAGTTAGCACTATGGTAAATTTAAATGGGTAATTATGGTTGCCAACTCCATTGGAAATTTGAATTGAGATTATGACCATATCTTGAGGGAAAGAATTTTTTGGGGGGAAAAAGGGGGGTGGGGATAAAAAGAAATTGTGGGGGGCCAATTTTTTCTCATTTCAGATTTCAGAAATTAAAAAGAATTATTCTTCAAATATTATTTTTTTTTCAAATTTCAAATATTGAAAAATTTCAAGAAGTAATCTTTAATTGCATAGTATGGCGCATTAGATTTGTAAAATCTTTGATCACATTTATTTATTTGTTATGCCGAATCTAACAGTGTATTTAGATTTTTAATTTTGGGTCCAGTTTTCAAATTGGTCTACATTAATGTCCAAAGGGTCCAAAATTAAACTTTGTTTGATTTTAGCAAAAATTGAATATATGAGGTTCTTTGATATGCTGAATCTAAACATGTATTTAGATTTTTGATTTTTGGCCCAGTTTTCAAGTTGGTCCAAATTGGGGTCCAAAATTAAACTTTGTTTGATTTCATCAAAAATTGAATATATGGGGTTCTTTGATATGCTGAATCTAACCATGTATTTAGATTTTTTATTTGTAGGCCCCGCTATCAAATTGGTTCATATTGAGGTCAAAAGGGTCCAAAATTAAACTTTGTTTGATTTCATCGAAAATTGAATTATTGGGGTTCTTTGATATGCCAAATCTAACCGTGTTTTTAGATTTTTAATTTGGGTCCCGTTTTTTAAATTGGTCTTCATTGAGGTCCAAAGGGTCCAAAATTAAACTTAGTTTGATTTTAACAAAAATTGAATTCTTGGGGTTCTTTTATATGCTGAATCTAGACATGTGTTTAGATTTTTGATTATGGGCCCAGTTTTCAAGTTGGTCCAAGTTGGGGTCCAAAATTAAACTTTTTTTTATTTCAACAAAAATTGAATATATGGGGTTCTTTGATATGCTGAATCTAACCATGAATTTAGATTTTTTATTTGTGGGCCCCGCTATCAAATTGGTTCATATTGAGGTCAAAAGGGTCCAAAATTAAACTATGTTTGATTTCATCAAAAATTGAATTATTGGGGTTCTTTGATATTCCAAATCTAACCGTGTATTTAGATTTTTTATTTTAAGTCCCGTTTTTTAAATTGGTCTACATTAAGGTCCAAAGGGTCCAAAATTAAACTTAGTTTGATTTTAGCAAAAATTGAATTCTTGGGGTTCTTTGATATGCTGAATCTAAACATGTATTTAGATTTTTGATTATGGGCCCAGTTTTCAAGTTTGTCCAAGTTGGGGTCCAAAATTAAACTTTGTTTGATTTTAACAAAAATTGAATATATGGGGTTCTTTGATATGCTGAATCTAACCATGTATTTTGATTTCGGACATTGGACCATAATAGGTAAATTAAAAAAATTAGTTCTTAGACCACATTCTTTCTGTGTCAGAAACCTATGCTGTGTCAAATATTTAATAACAATCCAAATTCAGAGCTGTATCAAGCTTGAATGTTGTGTCCATACTTGCCCCAACTGTTCAGGGTTCGACCTCTGCGGTCGTATCAAGCTGCGCCCCAGCGAAGCATTTTATTTTATACATGTATACAACAATTGTGTAGTTTTGTCCTGATCTACTAGAACCCAGAAAACCTGCAAGCATTTCATTTAGACACATAACAGCCATTCAGAATAAATAACGCCAGAATAAAGTGATCAAGTGATCGCAGATGCTCCTTTTTGCGAGAAAAAAAGCCCAGTACATGCCAAAATTCAAATTGAATGTGACCTGTATTTATGTTTTATTAAATTGTTCTAAAATTTAAAAAAAATGTCAAGCAATACTTTCATTTTCACCTAGAAACAAAAAGATCTAAATTCTAAGATAACTAACACATGGAAAGTAAATGTCAACATCCATCTTGACCTGTGATCTGGACATAGTGTTCAATTCTCGAAAGATATGGTCCAACAGTATTTTTAATATCATCCAGAAATTTAAAAACACAATACTTTTACATAAAATAAGGGGCATAGCTCTAGAACAGTAAAAGTCAAAACATTCAAAATCGAACTTGACCTGTATTTCATGATCTGTGACTTAAAAAAAATTGGTAAAGTGGTACATGTGTACTTTTACTTATCATCTTGAAACCAAATAAATACATACCCGGTAATAGTATTGGTAAATTATAACTGTTGGAGTTCTCAAACACATAGTGGCTATCTTTTTATGTACCAATAAAGAAAATACTTACAAAGCTATCTGGTATATTTGAAGGTTGTATTCCACAACTGACAACTGGTTTACAAAAGCTGTAACCCACATGTTGATAAAAATCTTGTTTATCATGGGTACTCAGATACATTGTCTCAAATCCTTCACTGAAAAATGATGAGAAAAATACTTAGTTATTAAAATCCTGATTACTTTAATATTGAAAGACAGTAGGCATTTTCACAAAAAAATCATAACCACAAAAATCTCTCATATTGCATGAACAGGCAAGTTTAACTGCTGAACAATTTTAGTGTCATGATAATCCGTATATACAATCCAGTGGCAGATCCAGGATTTCAGATAGATTGGTTGCGCTTTAGTCAGAAAAACTTTTAAAAAAAAAATAGAATCTTTGGTCGTCAGTGGGGAACCTCAAAAGCCCCTCCCCTGGGAATCTGAAACAACTTATTACAATTAATCAGCTCAGCTTGAAGACAAAAATAGTATTTCAGTTGCCATAATACTTTATAACTATTTTTCATTCTTTTTGTAATCTACCTGATACTTATTAAAATGTTAAGTTTTGTTAAATAAATTTTAAAATAATGTTAAAAATAATCTAGATAGTATCCAAAACACGCATGATAAATGCACTAATATGTACAACCATTCTCAGACAAAAATGGATTATTCTGGTAAAGATGAACACATATTATTGAAAATTACTTTTTTTATTCACTAATATTGTACTTTTGATTCATTTATTTTAGTGGGTACCAACTTTTATTGACTGAGGCAAAATTGTATTTCCATGGATACTTGATTTCATGGTTAAGTAAAAGTTCGATAACAAGCATATAGAAAATTAATACATCATTGAAATTTTAAATAAGTGGGGCTATACCAATGAAATCAAGGAAAATTGGTAACCCACAATATTTATGAATCCACAGTTATTAAATCAGTTCCACTTCAACATTCCCCCCCCCCCCCCCCCCCCCTCAAGATATTTAATAAATAATATATCAAGGAAACTTATTAGAATTGCTGTACACTTAACACATAGTTTACAGTTAAGTATGCAATACAATATAGTTATCTTTAAAGAAATAGTATTTTATCTGTAATCCTTCACTATAAAAGTTCGCTTCTCTGTTTCAAAATAACAAGCTTTTTAAAAGACTATTATAAATTGATAGTATATATATATAACGAAACTAGAACAAGCAGAAAAAAATGAAGGGTCCGCATCCTTGTTTTCGATATATAAGACATTGAAAATTTGGCTGAAAATGATTCTCTCTAGGTTTTTCCTAAAATTGGCACTTTTTTCTTTCAAAAACTATGAAAAAATAGCAAGGATTTTATAAAATTTTCAAATATGGCTTTTTAACCTATATGTAATAAAATTATGAAAAGAAAAGTAGGGCTTAGTGGGCAAATTTTTTAATGGCACTTCATGGATAAAACCAGAGGATTCAGAATATCTAATAAAAATTCAAAAACAAGAGAAGGGAACATCCTTAAGGTATATTAACTGTATACTGCCATCTTGGAATGTAAAATAGTATATGTAGTACATAATCGGCCAAGTTCTTTGCTTAATTCTGCAAATTTTGAGACATATTGGCAATTGGCAAATGTTCTGAGTAGATAGATCTTATCATGATGATCATTTTTATGGTTTACACTTTTAACTTTGCTCCTACAGTTTACAAAATAACAGCAAACTAAAGGCTCTTAAGAGCCTGTGTCGCTCACCTTGGTCTCAGTGCATATTCAACAAAGGACACCTTCCAACATTGTAGACGAGAATAGAATTCATGACAAAAATCTATGTTTTGTTGATCTTGTATTGCTGACCATTTAGTTTGTTTAGTTTCTCTTTATTTTCTTTAGTTTTTGCTCAAAACACAAGAGAGGGTAAAAAAAATCCTCATTTACGGGCAATCACTCCTATAAAGAGTGACAGTCTACTAACTATATCGCCAAAATTTGACTTGTTGGTAGATCTTGCCTTGCTGATCATTTTTGTGATTTAAAGTGTATTTATCTATTATAATTTTTATCATATAAGGCAAAATGCAAAAAAATGGTAAAAATCATCTATAAAGGGCAATAACTCCAATTAGGAGTCGTCAGATGATTTCCTCCAATTTTCTAAATTGTAGATCTTGTCATGCTGATCATTTTTGCTTATTTAAGTTTCTATCTGTCTATTAAGATATAAGGCAAAAACGCAAAAATTTGGTAAAAATTGTCATCAAAGGGCAATAACTCTAATAAAGAGTCAACTGACGATTTCGACCATGCAGAATTATTTGTGAAACTTGTCTTGATGATCATTTTTGCAATTAAAGTTTCTTTTTATCTATTAGTTTTCAAGATAATAGGCAAAATTGAAAAAAATGTTAAAGTTTGTGATTTAAGGGCAATAACTCCTATAAGAAGTCATCTGACAGTTTTGACGTATATGGCAAATTGGTAGAGCTCAACATTCTAAGCATTTTTACCCGTGTCAGATTTTCCCTATTTATAACAGTTTTCCAAATAATAGACAAAACTTGCATTTTATGCCTATGTTCTATTTTAAGCCATTTTGGCCATCTAGGTTGGCAGGCGGGGTCATCGGACACATTTTTATACAACCGCAAGATGGTATGACGTTGGCGTCGTCGTTGTCCGAAGACACATTGGTTTTCGCACTCTAACTTTAGTTTAAGTGAATGGATCTCTATGAAATTTTACAATAAGGTTCAATACCACAAAAGGAAGGTTGGGATTGATTTTGGGGGTTATGGCACCAACAGTTAAGGAATTAGGGGCCAAAAATAATCATTTTTGTAACTTCCAGACATAACTTGTGTGTTAGTGTATGGATCTCTCTGACATTGTACCACAAGGTTCCATATCACAAAGGGAATGCTGGGATTGATTTTGGGGGTAATTGCCTCAAAATTTTAGGAATTAGGGGCAAAAAACAAGCATTTATTTAGTTTCATGATAATAACTTGTGTGTAAGTGTATGGATCTTTCTGAAATTGTACTACAAGGTTCCATATCACAAAGGGAAAGCTGGAATTGAGTTTGGGGGTAATTGCCCTAAATGTTTAGGAATAAGGGGCCAAAAAGGGGCCAAAAATTAAGCATTTTTCTAGTTTCCAGACAATAACTTGTGTTCAAGTGTATGGATCTCTCTGAAATTGTACTGCAAGGTACCATACCACAAAGGGAAGGCTGGGATTGATTTTGGGGGTAATTCCCTGAAAAGTTAAGGAATTAGAGGCCAAAAAGGGGCAAAAAACCAGCATTTTTCTAGTTTCAGGACAATAACTTGTGTGTAAGTGTATGGATCTTTATGAAACAAGGTTCCATATCACAAAGGGAAAGCTGGGTTTGAGTTTGGGGGTAATTGCCCTAAACGTTTAGGAATTTGGGGCCAAAAAGGGGCCTAAAAACAAGCATTTTTCTAGTTTCCAGACAATAACTTGTGTTCAAGTGTATGGATCTCTCTGAAATTGTACTGCAAGGTACCATACCACAAAGGGAAGACTGGGATTGATTTTGGGGGTGATGAATCATAAGGGGGTTCAAAAATTTGGGGGAGGGATTTTTTTTTTCTTTAAAATTTTCCATTTTAAATTGGTTATTTCTGATTTATATATAAAAGCAAATAATAATGATATGGTTTGAATAGGTAAATTAAAATTTTGAAGTTCTTAGACCACATTCATTCTGTGTCAGAAACCTATGCTGTGTCAAATATTTAATCACAATCCAAATTCAGTGCTGTATCAAGCTTAAATGTTGTGTCCATACTTGCCCCAACTGTTCATGGTTCGACCTCTGCGGTCGTATCAAGCTGCGCCCAGCGGAGCATTTTATTTAAACTAGATACACCAATGATGATTGTGGCCAAGTTTGGTTAAATTTGGTCCTGTAGTTTCAGAGAAGATTTTTGTAAAAGTTAACGTACGACGACGACAGACGACGGAAGCCAAGTGATGGGACAGGTGAGCTAAAAATAGGAAAAAATGTGTATTTCAGGGGCATAACTCAACAAAAAGTAGACAGATTTTTCTCAAATTTTTGTGCTGATAATTTTTGCAATATCCCATTTTAACCTAGCTCCTATTTTTTTCATGATAAAAGCCAAAAACTGTAAAACATTAATATTTCAGGGGCAATAGCTCCAAACCAGGTTTACAGATTTTTATGGGCAGATACATCTTGTGGTGCAAAACCTTTCAGCAGTTTGCATTTTTAACCTAGCTCCTAAAGTTATCACAATAACAGCCAACAACTGCTAAAATTTGAGAAAAAAAATCCATTTTTCAGGGGCAATAATTCCTAAATAAGTAGTAAGTTTCTTCTTCAATTTTCAGGGTAGATACATCTTGTCATGTTGATCATTTTTGCATTTTACGCTTTTAACCTAGCTCCCGTATTTTTGAAACAATGGCAAGGAAATGCCAAAAAAAAGTTTTAAATTAACATTTCAGGGGCAATAACTCTAAAACAGGTTGACAGATTTTTCAAAAGTTTTCAGGCTATGCTAACAATTTTTACTCTGTCAGTTTTGCTCTAGTTGCCATAGTTGTAGAGATATTCGCCAAAAACTGTAGTTTGACCCCTTTGTTCTATTAGACAAGGTGGCCATGTTGGTTAATCAACCTGGACCAAAAATCACTAACTTTATAGTTGAAATACTACAGAAGCAGACAATGTTTCTATGTTGTGATGTTACACTATTGTTTCAGATAAGGGTGAAGGTTTGGTACCATTAAAACGTTTAAACCCACTGCAATTGTTTGCACCTGTCCTAAGTCAGGAATCTGATGTTCAGTAGTTGTTCTTTTGTTGATGTGGTTCATAAGTGTTTCTCGTTTTTTATATAGATTAGACCGTTGGTTTTCCCGTTTGAATGGTTTTACACTAGTAATTTTTGGGGCCCTTTATAGCTTGCTATTCGGTGTGAGCCAAGGCTCTGTGTTGAAGACCGTCTTTTGACCTATATTGGTTTACTTTTATAAATTTTGACTTGGATGGAGAGTTGTCTCATTGGCACTCATACCATATCTTCTTATATCTATAAACACAGTTTATTTGGCAAAGATTGTGAAAATAAATATCAAATTGGCATATATTTGCAAGGTGAGTGGATCAGGCTCCTAGGAGCCTCTAGTTTTACTTGGTCTCTGTGTACAAGCTTTTAGAAAGATGCCAAAGGATTTTATGTGGCACTTTAGACATGTTAGATAGGTAGTTGATACTGTGTCCTATATAGTTCTTCATAAAAAGTCTGAGTTTTTACCAAAAAAAATGTATTAGTGCTTTTAGGCTAATCAATTTTTCGATATAATTTTAAAACTAACAATAAACATGTGTATTGAAAAATTTGGTAAAAACTACTTAAAGACTGTTACCTTCTTGCAAAATTTTCTGTTTCTTGCATTAGTAGTTTTCCAAGACCTTTACCTCGCAGGGACCTCTTCACAACGACTGAAATATTTCATTACATACTAATTATTATATCTATATGTTTTTGATTCAATGTACCTCTGTGGAGTATTTTAACATTTTAAAACTGTCATTTTATGAATACATGAAAATTCAATGCATACCAAACCATGTTAGAAAGGAAAGAATTTTAAAAGTTATTGGTTGGAAAGTTACATTTTTCATAAATCCTATGCATTTAAATTTAAAAAAACTCTTATCAGATGAGATCATGCACAAATGATATGAATATACCAAAAAATCATATATGTCACTTTTATACTTCTCAATAAATAGTAAATTAAAACATGTAAAGGTCCTATAAACCAAAGTAAAATATAAGGAATTCACATGACTGTTGTAAAAAAAAAAAAGGTCAGTAATTTTCTTTTACAAATATTCAAAATCCAGTCCTACAATTTTATTTATAATGCAGTATGGAATTGCCAAGGAAATATTTATTTTTACGTATAAAATTCAAAGGAAAACCACATTTTTATGTTTTAACATATAAATTACTGATTCTTGTATAGTATTAAAGAGTGCGACAAAAAATTACAAAAGGCATAAATAAGAATAAAGTCAAGACACCAACATACAGGAAAATCTTTTTAATGTTTTTAAAATTTGAAAACCGGTAAACAAACTAAAAGCAACAAAACTTTATTTTTGGTACATGTTTAGATATGGTACACACACTTGCATTATTAATGCAACAAAAACAAATTCAGTGACCAAAATAAATTTTACATCAATAAAACCGAAATTTTAGTAGCAATAACATATTTTTGCAGAAAATTTTGACAATTTTTCAAGAAATCTAGTTTTAAAATGATTGTTCTTTTCTTCATTTATGGGTCCTAACATGTATTCCATACTATTGCAAATCTATTTTGACTTTATTTCAATGAACTCTGGATATATAAAAGCTATACATGTTCATATACATATCTTTTCGCCATTTTCAAATAATTAGTTCTTCTCTTTCTAGTACGTTGCATAAAAAATTCAGAAAAATCTGTGATATCACATATTTATGCATGACTCACCTTACAAAATATTACTAGCAGACGTGATGGAATAGTTGTTACCTGATTCAACAAAGCAAGATTTTTCTCTCCCAACTACTATAGACAACCGACTATGACCAACAGGTAAGTCTTCATCATTGACAAGAACTAAATTCACAGGATATTTATCACAGGATTTTTCCAAGGAATGTATTCTAAAATATGATAATTCAAATAGTTGAAGTTGTGTGTTTACATTTAAATTTTTTTTTATAACTTTCATTTTCCTGTGTTTGCATGCATGCAGTCAATGTTTTTTTCAACATATTACCTCTCCATATTTTTTGGGATTAATTGATATGCTGTCCCAAGTCATGAGCCTGAAGTTCAGTGGTAGCTGTTGGTTCGACCATAACTCTGTCATCATTTGTTTTTTTTTTAAATGTTTTGTTATAAATTATGCCGTTGGTTTTCTTGGTTGAATTGTTTCATACTTTTCATACCGGGCCTTTTATAGCCGACTGTACAGTATGGGTTTTTCTCATTGTTGAAGGCCATACGGTTCCCTATAATTAATTTAACCTTCCATGTGATAAATTACCACATCTTCTTCACCTTCTTGTAGCTTAATTAATTTTGTTTTATATTATAGCAGTCTCACTCTCATTTCAAATGAATGAGTGGAAATAAAACCGCTTAATATCAAATTATTAATCACGCAAATTAATTTTTTAAAGTTATAGATAATAATAATGATAACTGATAGAGAAATTTCCAGATATAAACTAGCATATCGATTTGTAAATTTAAATTACACTCTACTTTCAGTTTACAGTTACTTATTTTGGGTATTTAGCCACAGCACGCACCTTGCAGTTTTACTCCGAGGCCATTCTTCATTTAATACAGAGGCACATTCTTCTAAATACTGATTATTTTTATGTAGTACACATGTATGCATACTGAAAAACTGATTTTGTACCCCAAACACTACAGAAATTGTTCTTCCTAGCGAAGCCTCGTCCCGAGAAATCAACGAACCAGGGGAGATAACCACATGCAATGGATTTGCCACCTCCACTTTCTGCAGCTGACAAGAAGCAAGTTTGTTGACGCCAAGGATTATTAAAATCCTTGAGGACAGTTATTCGTTAAAAACAACTTATGCTTATTTATAAAATCGTGTCTTCTTGGTATGAGAAAGGGGCGTGTATTAAAATAATTTTATGAATCTGTATCTGGTAAAAATTATTATACGTTGTCTAGTTGTACAAATGTATGTCCCAAAATCTTGCATATATACAGCAGAAAAAGAGCTCATGTATACCCATACTGATTTATGAAGAATCAGTCTTATGGCTCTTTGCCTTTATTTATAACCTGGTGTTTTGGGAAATAATAATCATGATAATGTCACTTCTTGATATGAATAAACTTTTATCAAAAACCAAAGGCAAAGGAAAGTAATGTATCCATATGATTAAGCTATCATTGGCGTGCAAATTCAAACAATTTTCTGTTTAATTATAGGTAATGGCTAAATATGCTATTTTGCCAGCTCTAGGTAAGGGGAAGCCAATTTTGACACTGTAAACGATTTTGTTTACAGCTATAATGCAATTCAAAGAACTGACTATTATCATGATTATTTCAAAAGCAAAGTTATTCTAAATATTTTTGTCCCCTGCACAACACGTTACAGGGGTACATAGAAATACCGGGCGTCCATCCGTCTGTCTGTCCGGTCTTGTTATCGCTCTCACATCATGCACATGTAATGCCCCTTGGAAACATTAATTATTTGAAAAATTGCATCGTAAGCGCTCTCATTTGTACAATTCTTGCCAGATCTTTATGAAACTTATATCATAGGTAATTATATCAGCAATATCTCGGACGAGTTCGAAAATCAGTGCCAATCAATTATTTTTAAAAGAGTTATGCCCCTTGGAATTATCAATTATATGGGTTTGCATCATTAGTGCTCTCATGTATACAATTCTTGCCAGATTTTTATGAAACTTATATTGTAGGTTCATATCAGCGATGTCTGGAACGAGTTGGAAAATGTGTGCCGATCAATTATTTTTAAAAGAGTTATGCCCCTTGGAAATATAAATTATATGGAAAATTGTCTTCAATGTGAGCGCTCTCACTTGTACAATTCTCTCCAGATTTTTATGAAATTTATATTATAGGTTTATATCATCAATGTCTTGGATGAGTACAAAAAGCTTTGCAGATCAATTATTTTTTTAAAAAGTTATGCCCTTGGAAATATTAATTATATAGAAAATTGTATTGTTAGTGCTCTAATGTGTACAACTCTTGCCAGAATTTTATGAAATTTATATCATAGGTTTATATCAGCAATGTCTTTGACGCTTTAGAAAATAAGTGCTGATAAGATATTTTTAACAAGTTCTGCCCCTTTGAAATATTAATTGCATGTATATTGGAAATCACGTTGAATTTTCTCTGAAGCATTCATTTCTCTTAAGATATTTATGAGCAGTTTTAAAGAACAAAAAAAAGTGTATTTTTTAGTTATTGCCCTTGATCCTTGGATAGATAAAATATGTGCAACACAGGGGACATTGGAACTCTGTTCTTTTATTTATTTTGAAGCTATGTGATTGATCTTGTTCGATTGTATAATGTTTTATCAAATTTATATGCAATGAGTTTTTAACTTTTATTTTTTTGCAACATACGGTTAAAAAATCTGAGATTTTATTCTTATGCATACATAGCATTAGACTGTGACTGATGTTAGAAGTAACTTCAACTTCATGTTTTTGATATGATGACATTGCTACAAATGAATGGTCAATATTTTTCTTTTTATGTCTTTTAACAAATTTTTATTTTCACTTGGAATCATGAGTATTTTCAAACAATCATATGTATCTCAAATATTGTTACTGTTATCTTATTTACTATATGAGTGATAATTTTATTCTTTTATGTTGGCAATTCACCCTTTTCAAAGAACCTGCAAAATAACAAATTCACTATATTGCTGGCAATGGCAAAAATCAATTGCTATAGAAATATGCTATTTTGCAAGCTTTAATTATTATTAAGATATATTAATCAGAGGCGGCATAATAGCTTATTTTCTATTTTGCATGTGCTGGCTTAAGTTATGATATCAGCAAATTGTAATCATGGTAATGTTAATTAATCAAGACATTCAGAAAAATCTCAGATAAATATCTAACAAATTTCTTTTTTGATCGAATATAATTCTTGTCTTTGATGATTTCTAAAATTAGCTTTATAAATTTGAGCAAATGCAAGAAAAACAGCAAAGCTTTGATTTTTCTATATTATATCAGATACATATAACACATGTATTATACTCTCTGATTATTATAACAATTGTTGATTTGATATGGAAATTCAGTTATACAATACTGTTGAATTTATAGTAAACCATAATACTGATTACTCAACATGTGCTCTAGTGAATGCATAACATAATTGTGCTACAAACAATTAGTACAAATATATGGCCAAGTAGCCACAGGCTTGCAAAAGTAATATGTTATAGGCGCTTGAACTGATGAGTTATATGGCCGATAGTAATCACAAAACTGCCCTACATACAGTTGTTCTCAACTACAACACTATTTTAGCCAGAAGCAAGATAAATATCAAAATTCAGCACTTTAACAATAGGGAATGCATTTTGAGTTTGTCACACTTCAAATACAAATAAAATTCTCACAACTGTAAAGTGTATTGTTAATAAAATGTTTATATTGTAATTTCAGTTCATTTGCCTACCCAACAATCAAGGAAAGGCTTCCTGTAATTCTAGCAAAGATTGCTGATACTTTGTATAGAACCAGGGAGAAGATCAAAAGTCAATACCAGGATGTAAGTCTCTGTCCATCTGTTTTATAACATGAAGTTCAAATGTTTGAAAATAAAAAAAATTTCTTAAAAGACTTATCATATCTTCATATTGAATAAGCAACCCATTCCCTGATTCCATTTGCAAAATGGAACAGATATATAATGTTATGTTTTTGTACAATTCAAGGGATTTTGTTTTGTATTTTAATGAGAATTTTATATTATAAGCTTCTAGTATTAAAATAATAGTGTGTTTTTTTGCTTTCCTGTTGTTAAATTTGAATGCTTGTAAGTATTCGTACAGTCTAACTTAACCCAGCCCCCACTATCCACTTGCCTACAAACGCAAGTGGATAAATACATTTTCTTTTGAATATATATCCTTATTTCAGTAGCTAAAAAATAACAAAAATAACAAAAAATTAAACACATCTTGTTCCCTTGAAAACAAACAAAAAATTAATGTCAATTGGCAGTAGGAATTAGTCAGGTTTTAATTGGGGCAGATATTTTATACCACCAAGATATATTTAGCATGAAGTTTAGTGCAATGTACTTCCACATAATATTAATTAACAAATAAATAAGTATGACCTTTTTCAGGATGCAAGTGAAGAATTGAAAAGTATTATAGGATCTTGTTCAAAGCTTAGAAATGAAGTACAAACCAATAAAGTAGCCGTTCCTTTACAAGACAGTAGGGATGATACACGGGTATGGAACCAGTATCTTCAGACAGTTACAGAGAGAGAAGGGAGTCCTCCTAGTTGGTTTAAATCTCCTTGGCTTTATATGGAATGCTATATGTATAGAAGAATTCAAGAGTCTGTTGAAAAGTGGTAAATGTTGAATTTGTATAGAAATTATAGATTAATGTTTAAAGTGATTTCTAATCTAAGTTTAATCAAATTTATGTCTTTTAAGTTTTAAAGGTTAACATCAGCAATTTCTTAAATGAGTTTGAAAATCCTTCCAGATATACCAGATAGTTTTTTGAAGTTATTTTCCCTTAAATGTAAGTATTATATGGAAAATCAACATTGTAATGATCTGGCAACTACATTTCTCATCAGAGTTTAATGAATTTTATGTTTACGAGTTTGAAAACCAGTGCTGATGTATTTTTTTGTGGGGAGTTATGCCCCTTTGATATGGAAAATGCAAGATATTTTAGCTGGAGACATTACCTAATCCATAACACACTTGTATATATGAAAAACAACTCAAAAGAATAACCAACTTGTTAAAAGTCTAAAAGAAAAAACTATTTAACAGAGCTCCAGATAAGCTGCGTATTTGCGTAATTACGCAATTAAAACAATAGAAAACCAAATTCAATTGATTTTCTTAGTGTTTAAAAACTAATTCATTCAAAGGAGAACCCAATAAGTTATTTATACTATGCATTTCCAACCCTAATAGTCGCTGTCAAGTGCGTTATTTACCCTAAATAATGAATTATTTTTGCGTAATTCATAAATCTATTTTCGTAATTTAAAGAAATCCACTTTGGTTCTTAAAATAGAGCACCAATCAAAAAGCAATCCTAACTTCTCGGGCATTCTCGCTCACTTACATTAACGTAAATGTAAGTGAAGCGATAAGGGTCGAGAAATTACAAATGGCAGAACCGGGTCCTTGTCGAAATCTAAAAATTGTTTGTCCCTTGCTAAAATTTTGTATCCTGATAAACAAGCGGCACCAGTTCATAAAATTTTCTTTTTATAGCAAGGGAATAGAAGAGGTAGAAAAAGCACATCTTGTGCCAAAGACGTAGTTTATTGAATTATCTCAAAACTGACACATATTCTGAGGAATAAAGAAATGTCACACACATTATTAATTCACTCGTGGAGAAAGCAATAACTCTGTGTGCAATAACACTGGACATTAATTAACCACCCATCATCATGATCATATATTTATAGTGACTGTTTTGCTGCTTACATGAACAATATTTTGGTGTATGTCACTAAATTGGGTAAGAATAAAACTGTCCATGAATCGATGTTACATTGTTTTAACACATTCACAGAACTATAATATTGATGCATCATACACATGACAATGAATCAATTTTACCCAAACAGAGTAAATGTCTCAATTTTAAAACCATGATGAAAAAAATCCAATACATTCAGGAATATTGGAGTGAAAAACCCAATTCAATCTTTGCCTGAGGGGTAAACTTGAACTGATGATGCAAAAGAAAAACCTATTTCACTCAATTACATAAAAAATGAGGAGTAAAAACCCTAATTAGTAAATTCTTATCTGGAGCTCTGATTTAAGAATTAAAAAGATTTTTATTTTCTGCCGAGTCTTTTTTTTTCATAACATAAGAAAATTGTCATAAGAGAATGATACAAAATCTAAAGTTGAAGAAATTTATAGCAATTAAAAAAAAAAACGCTTACAATTTTTTACAGAAGAAATGAATATATTCTCTTCTTGACAGTTTAAATGTGAAAAGAAGGAAGTTTTTTCTTTCATTGCACAATTAACATAGTTGACTTTGTTTTTAAAAAACTCTTTCAAACCAGTCTTTGAAAATTTCTGACTTATTTAGCAGAAATAGATAAAAAATGCAGTTGGATCAGAATTCAGATAGGCTTAGTTTTATGATGATATCTTAATATGAAATTATACAGTACATCAGTTATGCTAGTATAAACCAGTAGAATAGGAAAACAAAGGATATGGGGTATCCTTCCATGACACAAAATCAGTACATGCACAGCAAAAAAAAAACACAATAAGCAAAGAAACAGCGCTTTTATTGCTGTTCTTCATCTCAAAGTCAAAGTGAGGCCTTCAACACGGAGCAACAAAAGAAACTCATCTCACCGCAAGTTTAAGACGGCCCCTAGCACTGGCTTGAGTGGAATTCTTTGCAAAAATAAATTTGGATAGACTTTGTAAGATGTAACCCCACCTAATCGGGCCGGTTAAAAAAGAACACACTTGACCTCGACTTCATTTCATGGATCAGTGAACAAGGTTAAATTTTCGTGGTCAAGTCCATATCTCAGATACTATAAGCAATAGATCGTCTATATTTGGTGTATGAAATGATTGTAAGGTGTACATGTCCAACTGGCAGGTGTCATCTGACCTTGACCTCATGTTCATGGTTCAGTGGTTAAAGTTTAGTTTTTGTCGAGCCTGCGACTTTTGTCGCAGAAAGCTCGACACAGGGATAGTGATCTGGCGGCGGCTACGGTGGCGGCGTTAGCTAACTTCTTAAAAGCTTTATATTTTAGAAGGTGGAAGACCTGGATGCTTCATACTTTGTATATGGATGCCTCATGTTACAAAGTTTCCGTCAGTCACATGTCCAATGTCCTTGACCTCATTTTCATGGTTCAGTGACTACTTGAAAAAAAAGTTCAGATTTTTTGTAATGTTAAATTCTCTCTTATTATAAGTAATAGGATAACTATATTTGGTATGTTCGTACCTTGCAAGGTCCTCATGCCCGTCAGACAGTTTTCACTTGACCTCGACCTCATTTCATGGATCAGTGAACAAGGTTAAGTTTTGGTGGTCAAGTCCATATCTCAGATACTATAAGCAATAGGTCTCGTATATTCGGTGTATGGAAGGACTGTAAGGTGTACATGTCCAACTGTCAGGTGTCATCTGACCTTGACCTCATTTTCATGGTTCAGTGGTTATAGTTAAGTTTTTGTGTTTTGGTCTGTTTTTCTTATACTGTATGCAATAGGTCTACTATATTTGGTGTATGGAATGATTGTAAGGTGTACATGTCTAGCTGGCAGGTGTCATCTGACCTTGACCTCATTTTCATGGTTCAGTGGTTATAGTTAAGTTTTTGTGTTTTGGTCTGTTTTTCTTATACTGTATGCAATAGGTCTACTATATTTGGTGTATGGAATGATTGTAAGGTGTACATGTCTAGCTGGCAGGTGTCATCTGACCTTGACCTCATTTTCATGGTTCAGTGGTCAAAGTTAAGTTTTTGAGTTTTGGTCTTTTTTTCTAATACTGTATGCAATAGGTCTACTATATTTGGTGTATGGAATGATTGTAAGGTGTACATGTCTAGCTGGCAGGTGACATCTGACCTTGACCTCATTTTCATGGTTCAGTGGTCGAAGTTAAGTTTTTGAGTTTTGGTCTTTTTTTCTAATACTGTATGCAATAGGTCTACTATATTTGGTGTATGGAATGATTGTAAGGTGTACATGTCTAGCTGGCAGGTGTCATCTGACCTTGACCTCATTTTCATGGTTCAGTGTTCAAAGTTAAGTGTTTGAGTTTTGGTCTTTTTTTCTAATACTATATGCAATACTTCAACTATATTTGTTGTATGGAAGAATTGTTAGCTGTACATGCCTGCCTAGCATGGTTCATCTGACCTTGACCTCATTTTCATGGTTCATTGGTCAATGTTTAGTTTACTTGGTTAATGTTAAGTTTATATGACAGTTGTAATAAAACTTTATATTTAGGACTATCAACATAATATCAATGATTAGTAAAGAAGGCGAGACATTTCAGTGTGTGCACTCTTGTTGTGATTTGGTCTATTTTTCTAATACTGTATGCAATAGGTCAGCGATATTTGGTGTATGGAAATATTTTATGATGGTCATGTCAGTCTGACAGGTTTTATTTGACCGTGACCTCATTTTCATGGTTTATTGTTCAATGTTAAGTTTTTGTGTTTTGGTCTTTTTTACTTAAACTATAAGCAATAGGTCAACTATGTTTGGTGTATGGAATGATTGTAATGTTTATATATCTGTCTGGTATCATCTGAACTTGACCTCATTTTCATGGTTCATTGGTCAATGATAAGTTTTTCGTGGTTAAGTTTGTTTCTTAGATACTATATTTGATAGTCAACTATATTTGATCCATTGAATGATTGTAAAGTGTACATGTCTGTCTGGCAGGGTTCATCTGACCTTGACCTCATATTCATGGTTCATTGGTAAATATAAAGTTTTCATGTTTTGGTCTTTTTCTTTTATAAGCAGGAGTCAACTATATTCAATGTATGGAATGATTGTAAGGTGTACATGTATTTCTGGCATGGTTTATCTGACCTTGACCTCATTTTCTTGGATCATGATAAGCTAATGTGATACTTGTAGTAAAACTTTATATTTAGGGCTATCGACATAAAATCAATGGTAGTAAAGCAGGCGAGACATTTCAGTGTGTGCACTCTTGTTTTAACAAAAAAATAGTACCGGGTAGATAAAAAGATAGTAAACAGCAAAATACTGCAGTGGTCTTCAGCAAATATCCAAAGTTCAAATTCCACTGATGTTATGACATTGATGACTGGAGGTGTTACCACAACTTATGAGTTTTTCCAGTTATTCATGGTCATTTTGTGGTTTATACCATCAGTGCAAAACTCATATAGGATGAAGCATTTTAGACAAGGATTGAATGAAAATGAGGTCAAGGACATTGGACATGTACCAGTACTCAAATTTGTCAAACAAATAAATTTTATTTCTAATTTTAGCAAAATAATGAAAGAGTTTGATGTATTTGGAGATCAGAAAGAGAAATCTTTTACAGATTCTGTGTATCCTACTGAAATAGTAATGATGCATCTCATAGAAACACAACAGAAGATTAAAGAGAATGCAGAATTAATACCTCAAGCTTTCAAACTGTTTTTAAAGGTTTGTATAAATAAGTCATCTCTTGTTCATTTTCAGGGTAATGAATACCTCAACTTATTTTCTTTTCGGTTTAAAATTCAACGTCGCATCAAAGGTTGGTGATGGGGTCTTATTGATTAAGACTTCACTTATGACATCTTCTTGTCAGAAAACACATGGGCCAATTGCATAGTTCTATGGTATGGTATGGTATGGTTTTTGTCGAGCCTGCGACTTTTGCCGCAGAAAGCTCGACATAGGGATAGTGATCCGGCAGGGGGCGTTAGCTAACTTCTTAAAAGCTTTATATTTTAGAAGGTGGAAGACCTGGATGCTTCATACTTTGTATATGGATGCCTCATGTTACGAAGTTTCCGTCAGTCACATGTCCAATGTCCTTGACCTCATTTTCATGGTTCAGTGACTACTTGAAAAAAAAGTTAAGATTTTTTTATGTTAAATTCTCTCTTATTATAAGTAATAGGATAACTATATTTGGTATGTGCGTACCTTGCAAGGTCCTCATGCCCGTCAGACAGTTTTCACTTGACCTCGACCTCATTTCATGGATCAGTGAACAAGGTTAAGTTTTGGTGGTCAAGTCCATATCTCAGATACTATAAGCAATAGGTCTAGTATATTCGGTGTATGGAAGGACTGTAAGGTGTACATGTCCAACTGGCAGGTGTCATCTGACCTTGACCTCATTTTCATGGTTCAGTGGTTATAGTTAAGTTTTTGTCGAGCCTGCGACTTTTGTCGCAGAAAGCTTGACATAGGGATAGTGATCCGGCGGCGGCGTTAGCTAACTTCTTAAAAGCTTTATATTTTAGAAGGTGGAAGGTCTGGATGCTTCATACTTTGTATATGGATGCCTCATGTTACGAAGTTTCCGTCAGTCACATGTCCAATGTCTTTGACCTCATTTTCATGGTTCAGTGACTACTTGAAAAAAAAGTTAAGATTTTTTGTAATGTTAAATTCTCTCTTATTATAAGTAATAGGATAACTATATTTGGTATGTGCGTACCTTGCAAGGTCCTCATGCCTGTCAGACAGTTTTCACTTGACCTCGACCTCATTTCATGGATCAGTGAACAAGGTTAAGTTTTGGTGGTCAAGTCCATATCTCAGATACTATAAGCAATAGGTCTAGTATATTCGGTGTATGGAAGGACTGTAAGGTGTACATGTCCAACTGGCAGGTGTCATCTGACCTTGACCTCATTTTCATGGTTCAGTGGTTATAGTTAAGTTTTTGTGTTTTGGTCTGTTTTTCTTATACTGTATGCAATAGGTCTACTATATTTGGTGTATGGAATGATTGTAAGGTGTACATGTCTAGCTGGCAGGTGTCATCTGACCTTGACCTCATTTTCATGGTTCAGTGGTTATAGTTAAGTTTTTGTGTTTTTGGTCCGTTTTTCTTATACTTTATGCAATAGGTCTACTATATTTGGTGTATGGAATGATTGTAAGGTGTACATGTCTAACTGGCAGGTGTCATCTGACTTTGACCTCATTTTCATGGTTCAGTGGTCAAAGTTAAGTTTTTGAGTTTTGGTCTTTTTTCTTATACTATATGCAATAAGTCAACTATATTTGGTGTATGGAAATATTCTATGATCTACATGTCAGTCTCGCAGGTTTTATTTGACCTTGACATCATTTTCACGGTTCATGGCTCAGTGTTAAGTTTATGTGTTTCAGTCTGTTTTTCTTAAACTATAAGCAATAGGTCAGCTATATTTGTTGTATGGAAGGATTGTAAGCTGTTCATGTCTGCCTGGCATGGTTCATCTGACCTTGACCTCATTTTCACGATTCATTGGTCAATGTTTAGTTTTCTTGGTTAAGTCTGTTTCTTAGAAACTATAAGCAATAGGTCAACTATATTTAGTGTATTGAATGGTTGTAAGTTGTACCTGTATTTCTCGTTTGGTTTATATGACCTTGACTTCATTTTCTTGGATCATGTTAAGTTTATGTAATAGTTGTATTCAAGCTTTCATTTAGGACTATCAACATAATATCAATGGTTAGTAAAGAAGGCGAGACATTTCAGCGTGTGCACTCTTGTTATTCAATTCTTTGTCTAAATTTTAGATACTGTAAATGGGAATATTTTGGTGGTTTTTGTCGAGCCTGCGACTTTTGTTGCAGAAAGCTCGACATAGGGATAGTGATCCGGCGGCGTTAGCTAACTTCTTAAAAGCGTTATATTTTAGAAGGTGGAAGATCTGGATGCTTCATACTTTGTATATGGATGCCTCATGTTACGAAGTTTCCGTCAGTCACATGTCCAATGTCCTTGACCTCATTTTCATGGTTCAGTGACTACTTGAAAAAAAAGTTAAGATTTTTTGTAATGTTAAATTCTCTCTTATTATAAGTAATAGGATAAATATATTTGGTATGTTCGTACCTTGCAAGGTCCTCATGCCCGTCAGACAGTTTTCACTTGACCTCGACCTCATTTCATGGATCAATGAACAAGGTTAAGTTTTGGTGGTCAAGTCCATATCTCAGATACTATAAGCAATAGGTCTAGTATATTCGGTGTATGGAAGGACTGTAAGGTGTACATGTCCAACTGGCAGGTGTCATCTGACCTTGACCTCATTTTCATGGTTCAGTGGTTATAGTTAAGTTTTTGTCGAGCCTGCGACTTTTGTCGCAGAAAGCTCGACATAGGGATAGCGATCCGGCGGCGGCGGCGTTAGCTAACTTCTTAAAAGCTTTATATTTTAGAAGATACAGGACCTGGATGCTTCATACTTTGTATATGGATGCCTCATGTTACGAAGTTTCCGTCAGTCACATGTCCAATGTCCTTGACCTCATTTTCATGGTTCAGTGACTACTTGAAAAAAAAGTTCAGATTTTTTGTAATGTTAAATTCTCTCTTATTATAAGTAATAGGATAACTATATTTGGTATGTGCGTACCTTGCAAGGTCCTCATGCCCGTCAGACAGTTTTCACTTGACCTCGACCTCGTTTCATGGATCAGTGAACAAGGTTAAGTTTTCGTGGTCAAGTCCATATCTCAGATACTATAAGCAATAGGTCTAGTATATTCCGTGTATGGAAGGACTGTAAGTTGTACATGTCCAACTGGCAGGTGTCATCTGACCTTGACCTCATTTTCATGGTTCAGTGGTTATAGTTAAGTTTTTGTGTTTTGGTCTGTTTTTCTTATACTGTATGCAATAGGTCTACTATATTTGGTGTATGGAATGATTGTAAGGTGTACATGTCTAGCTGGCAGGTGTCATCTGACCTTGACCTCATTTTCATGGTTCAGTGGTCAAAGTTAAGTTTTTGAGTTTTGGTCTTTTTTTCTAATACTGCATGCAATAGGTCAGCTATATTTGGTGTATGGAATGATTGTAAGGTGTACATGTCTAGCTGGCAGGTGTCATCTGACCTTGACCTCATTTTCATGGTTCAGTGGTCAAAGTTAAGTTTTTGAGTTTTGGTCTTTTTTTCTAATACTATATGCAATAGTTCAACTATATTTGGTGTATGGAAATATTTTATGACCTATATGTCAGTCACGCAGGTTTTATTTGACCTTGACCTCATTTTCAAGGTTCATTGCTCAGTGTTAAGTTTTTGTGTTTTCGTCTGTTTTTCTTAAACTATAAGCAATAGGTCAACTATATTTGTTGTATGGAAGAATTGTTAGCTGTACATGCCTGCCTAGCATGGTTCATCTGACCTTGACCTCATTTTCATGGTTCATTGGTCAATGTTTAGTTTACTTGGTTAATGTTAAGTTTATGTGACAGTTGTAATAAAGCTTTATATTTAGGACTATCAACATAATATCAATGATTAGTAAAGAAGGCGAGACATTTCAGCGTGTGCACTCTTGTTTTAAATTGGTCTACATTTAGGTCCAAAGGGTCCAAAATTAAACTTAGTTTGATTTTAACAAAAATTGAATTTTTGGGGTACTTTGATATGCTGAATCTAAACATGTGTTTAGATTTTTGATTATGGGACCAGTTTTCAAGTTTGTCCAAGTTGGGGTCCAAAATTAAACTTTGTTTGATTTCAACAAAAATTGAATATATGGGGTTCTTTGATATGCTGAATCTAACCATGTATTTTGATTTTGGACATTGGACCATAATAGGTAAATTAAGAAAATTGAAGTTCTTAGACCACATTCTTTCTGTGTCAGAAACCTATGCTGTGTCAAATATTTAATCACAATCCAAATTCAGAGCTGTATCAAGCTTGAATGTTGTGTCCAAACTTGCCCCAACTGTTCAGGGTTCGACCTCTGCGGTCGTATCAAGCTGCGCCCAGCGAAGCATTTTATTATTGAAATGATTTGAAGAGGGTAGATTTATAGAATTGTACATTTTATAAATTAATGTTGTTAAAATATTGATCTGTTAATCAAGTAAAAGAGGTAATTTTAAATGGTTACACAATTGATAGTTTGATCCCACTATTTATATCATAGTGCAATTGTTTTTTTTCTGATCAAATTAAGTCACTTGCAACATAATATGTTACACTATGATTATTAGAATCTTGCATTTATCTTTTTGGTCAAATTTTAATTTTGGTGTGTTAAATTTTGGCACTTTCTTTCATCTTAGGAACTAAATAAACCAAAATAAGAATATGGCCAAAATATTCCAATTTATGGTAGCTACTATACAAACACATAAAACTTTTTGGCAATATTTTTGAAACAACTTTTTATTGAAAGACAAGACATATCTCTGTGTCAACAGTTAAATCTATATATAAATTTGGTTTCCCTGAGTTTTAATTTAAGTCATATAGTTAGTATGGATAAAAACACCTGCACGACACATGTTACACAGTATTAATTTATAATATGCATGGATGATGACATAATGGTCCTTCTTCAATGCTATATAAAAACAAGGAGATGTGGTACAATTGACAATGAGACAACAATTTGAGTATCCATCAAAGAAAGAGGATGTAAACAACTATAGGACACCGAATGGCCTTCAACAAAGGGTAAATAACCAATGACCTTATTTATTACATGACAATCAAAGAAAAACAAATATGAAAGACATCAACCAACAACAACAACTGAATTAAAGGCTCTCTTTTTTTGACAGGCACATAAAAGAATGTAGCAGTGTTAAATATGATTGTGAGTGCCCAACCCTCCCCTAACCTGGAACAGTGGTGTTACAGCACAACATAAGAAAGTTGTCAGCAAGATCAGATCTTTAAATATGTAAACGTTGCCCAAATCAGGAGTTATCTTCCATAAATGAAGATTTTTACCAATATTTTGCATTTTTACCTTCTATATTGAAAACTATAATAGTTAGATAAAAACTTTTCAATGCAAAAGTGATCAGCAGGACAAGATTTTTTGAAATTGTTAGTCAACTCTTGATAAAAGTTATTGCCCTTTATTGATGATTTTTACCTATTTTTGCATTTTTGACTAACACTTTGGTGGATAGAGAAAAGCTGCAAACAGCAAAAAGGATCAACAAGACAAGATCTACAAATGGGTCAACAAAGCCAAAATTATCAGTTGACTCCTTATAGGAATTATTGTCTGATTATAAAAAGATGATGGTTGCCCTTTTCATTTCGAGCAAAAATTATAGAAGGTAGAAAGAAACTGTAAACAGTAAAAATGACCAGCAAGACATGATCAAGAAAAAAAAAAGATTTAAGCCATCAATTATAATCTATATAAAAATAAGGACATGTGGTATGATTCCAAATGAGACAACTATCCACTAGAGTTCAATATCTAGTCTATAATGTTGGAGAGTGGCGATTTTTGAAGATTGGCATAGTTCCAGGTGAACAACACAGGCTCTTAAGAGCCTTTAATTTAATTTCTTTGTAAATGAAAATTTTATTTGTACTTTATTTGAAACATTCTCAACTGAATGATGAATTAATTTTATTGCATTATTTTCTCTTTCTAAAACCCAGTCAAACTCTTTACTATTACGGTAGTCTTAATCTCAATAAGGGTCAGTAAACAAAAATGGAATGATTAACTCCAACATTAAATTGAAACTTGAATACCATATTTTGTTATTAAAAAAAGTAGCTGGTGCCATATATGAGTTGTTGTTGAATCTTCTCATGGGGGCTTCGGTGGCAGAGTGGTCTATTGTCTAAGTAGTTCATCTACTGTATCACTAACCTGTCAACACCGAGGTTGTGAATTTGCAACCCCCCATGTGGTAAGTGCTTTTAACTCCATTCTTAATGGACTAGGATTTTTAGTTTTCATACCAAAGGGTTCAGTTCTCTCCGTGCTTCCTCAGCCAATAAAAACTGACCATCATGATATAGCCAATAGTGCTGAAGGTGGCATTAAACACCAACAATCAATCAATCTTAACAACTGACAATTCTATATTATTATTATTTTACCCCAATTCACCTTGACTGCATTCATCCTTCTGTCCTTTGTTCAACAATTATTTCATCACACTCTTCTCAGGTACTTTTGAACAAAATGATTTCATATTTTTTTAGCAGCTTGACAGTGATGAATTGAAAGGTCTGAGCTCAGCAATTCCAAATGTCAAACCCTAATTCCTGCTTGCAGATACTTTGAATTAGTAGGGTGTATCCTTAGCACTACAACACATGAATTATTGTTGTAAATATTGTTTTATTTATGTATGGTATGTCAAACAGGTAAAGCTTGTGAAAGGGTCACCACCTTTCGAATTAAATTGTATCAGAGAAAAGGGATGGTAAAATGCCTTTATGATGACCAAGTGGTGCATCTTAAAAACTACACATAGCAATACACGTAAATTGAAATTATTGTAGTTACTATTTCAATTTTAGTGTATTGCATTTTAGATACTACATGTACATTATAATACCAGCTCCTGATTAAAACGGATTGTATTTTTTTATTTTAACTAGGTATGTCTATGGGGAAATAAATGTGACTTATCAATATCTGGTGGAGAAGATAATGCTCAGAAATCCTCACCATTAGAACAGCTAGATAAACTAGAACCAAACATCCTGATCGATAATTCTAATGTTGTTCTAAATCATTTACAGAGCAGGAAGTGTGAAAGAATAGATATTGTCTTGGACAATGCAGGGTTTGAATTGATATCAGATTTATGTTTTGCTGAATTCCTTTTATCTGCTGGCTTATGCTCAACAATATATTTACATGCAAAAGCTTTTCCATGGTTTGTTTCTGATGTCACAAAGAAAGACTTCGATTGGACTTTACAAAAATTAGGCCAGATAAATCATATTGCTGTTAGTAACTTTGCTCAACTCTGGAAAGAAAGATTGAATAACAGTACATGGATTTTGCAAGTTCATGATTTCTGGACCTTGCCTTATGATTACAGCCAAATGGAAACCTATGCTCCAGATTTATATCAGTCACTTCAGAAGTCAGACATGATATTTTTCAAAGGAGACCTTAATTATAGAAAATTGTTAGGTGATTTAAAATGGCCATTTACAGTATCATTTGAAACATGTTTACATGGTTTCTATCCTGCTCCATTATGTGTATTAAGAACAAGTAAATCAGATGTTCTTGTTGGATTACCAGAGGGTAGGGATGAAGAAATTCAGGCTCAGGATAAAGATTGGCTTGTAAATGGAAATTGGGGAGTGATCAATGCTTGTCTAAAAACAAAGTGAATGTTCATTAATGGTATCTGATGACATTTTTGATTATTTATATTATAATATATTGTTTTTTTGTCTTTTTGCATTCCTGTCTTTAAGATTAAATAATAAAAAAAAAAGAAAAAGTGTTGACCTATTTCACACAAAGTTTGAAACTTGTAAGACAGTTTATTTTTTATTTCCATTGCAGAGACAGGAATTCCTCTTACTTTTCACTAAAGAGAGGGATATGTTAGCAATTGCCATCATTTTGCATCTTTCATCAAATGCATCTTAAATTTTGTAATTCTTTCAACTCTCTTGAAACTGCAAGGTTAAATGAAAGGTTCTATAAAAAGTAATCATTTCATTAAGTTTGGATGAAAGACATGGCCACTAGGGGCAATGCTTGATTATGAGTGGTCAGTTTCAAATATTGTCTCTGAAACTACAAAATCAAACTTATCCATAAGATTCCTTGCTTATTTACGTACAATGGTTTATCAAAGATTTCCATTGATTTCTAATGAAAAATACATTTTCATCATCTCCTATGAAGAAATACAGGCAATCTGAACCAAACTTTACTGACACATAAACCCTACATCCTGTATATACTTATATAAGATTGGTAATTTGTGTTTTTTGCCTATATGTTTAGGTGTGTGTTGTTCTTCGTGCTGATGTGATGAGTCAATACTTTTCCATCGGATTTTTACAGTTTGTTCTTATGTTGTATTGTTACACCACTTTCCCAGGTTAGCGGAGGGTTGAGCATTATTTATGTGCCTGTCCAAAGTGAGGGGCCTGTGATTTAGTAGTTGTTGTTAGTTACTGTCTTTCATATTTGTTTTTCGTTCATTGTATTTAGCATCAATCAGAATGATGGTTTACTCTTTATTTATTGTTTCACATTTGTTCATGCCAATGCCATTTATAGCTAACTATACAGTATGGGTTGTGCTTAATGTTGAATGTCTTATGGTGTTTTACATCCTTGTCCTTTGGTCTCTGGTGGTTAGCTGTCTCATTGGCAATATCCTTATGTTTATAGTCCTAGAAGTAATGTTTGAAAGGTCTTTTAAAATATATAAAAAAAAAATTAAAAATTTGATATGTGATGGAAAACATTGCCACAAGAGGCAATGCTTAATTGCTACTAGTAATTTTTCCAGTTTTCTTCTCAGAAAATGCACTGATTGTTTTCCCCAGTATTAATTTTTTCAAAAATATCTTGACAAATCATAATGTCATATGTAGGTCATCAACAATGCAGTATATTTTACAATCAATTTTAGTCACAAAATATGCTGTATAAAGAGCCACAGATTAAAAAGTCTTAGCTTATGCAAAAGAGCAGGTTATTCTTATGTCATGTTTGCATCCAATTTTAATGGAAATTATTTGCAAAAACAAAAATATTTGTTTTTTAAGAGAGGTGTAACCTTTGTTTGAGCTTTAGGGGTTCAGAATGAATGAGTCTGTGTCCAGAGTAGACCTGTAATTTAAAATAAGATTGATAAAGCTAGAAATAGAAAGATATAACAATATTTATTAATAAAATTTAAATAACATATATAATATATATAAAGCTATCAAACAGTTGGATTTCATTTTTCTTTTGATAAAAAAATTAAATTCTTTAATATGAATTTATAGAAAATAAAATATAATTGGATTTCTGATTTCTTCTTACACTGATTAAAGCACCTACTTGAAAAGTGATATGACATCTACCGGGTATATAGTTTAACACAATACCATGTCAACTATGATATATATATTCATATTGTTAGATGTGCCACATTTTGAATATGAGGTTTACTGTAACTGGACTGACAATTTACACAGTAGACAGTTGATACATCTTATAATACATGATCAAGAAGAATGTGATAGTAAAAAAAAACAGTGAAATGTAAATCTACTAGTATTTTTCATCATGAATTTACATAAAATATACGGATGAACTGTACCTGTATTTTTCTCACTGAAATAGATGGATTAGTTATGTGAAAATTATTTAATGAATAACAGCAGGCAAATCTGTCAATCAAAGAATTATGTAAAATGGGTGTAAATGAATTTGATTTAGAATCTTGTATATAAAATTATCTAAATTTGCAGCACCACAAAATATATGATATATAGGAAACATGAAGTTGTCATTATATATATTTTGTAATACAATGTTTTTTTTCTATTTCTTTGAGTGATCAGCTACTGAGCCATCAAAACTACAAATTGTAAACACACTTTCACAAAATCCTTTTGCTTTACTTGGTAGCATCAGCTTCGTTTATGTACCATTATGAAAATATTCGAAAACTGAAATCCTTGTGCATATGCTGTAAATCCATGTCTTAACCATTTCCAGGATCTTCTTATTATTCTTCTTGTACGTTTTGCAACCTGAAAAAATATTAAGCATTGACTAAAACATGTTAAATTCTATCACCATTAAAGCTTACTATCATATGCAATAACTCAATGTATTTGTTTTGTACTTATCATTACTTAAAATGATGTTAGACATTCAAGAAATCAATCATCGAAATTAAATTTATAGTTTCTGCATTTCTAAATATTGGCTTCTGAGTGATACTTCACTGTTAGATTTTTTTGCAGGCATCAAATTTCTGTTACAAAAATAGCAAGAATAAATATCAGATCAATCTTAATTTATGAATTAAACATTTGTTAAGATAATGTTAAATGAAATAATATAATGAAACAAACAAAATTGTAAAAAGAGTTCCACACAAACGGCCAAACAGTTGTCAACAACTTTTACTTACATTGAATATACATGAAGATGAACATGCTTTCTTATAATTGGAATAATGTATATAATTTTAAATAGGAATAAAACTGTATATAATATTGAACAGAAACAAAACTGAATACATAATTGTACAGAAAACAAATGGTACAAAATTCTAAACAAACTGTGTACAATACTGAAAAGTACATTTATGCAGTGAATAGGAACTCGTAAACCAAACAAATATACAACATGCATTGGTTCCCAAATTTACTGCTAGAACACCAATCAATCACACTACATAACTGACTATCAAGGTTACCCCTAGTGAGTCAAGTACTGTTTACCAAGGTTACCACTAGTAAATCAAACAACATACAACATGCACTGGTAACCACTGGTTACCACTATTGAACCAAACAACATATGACATGTACTGGTTACCACTATTGAACCAAACAACATACGACATGTACTGGTTACCACTATTGAACCAAACAACATACGACATGTACTGGTTACCACTATTGAACCAAACAACATACGACATGTACTGGTTACCACTATTGACCCAAACAACATACGACATGTACTGGTTACCACTATTGAACCAAACAACATACGCAGACCTGCCAACTATCCCGATTTATGGGGTATATCCCCCATGAGAGGTGTTGACCTGAATTTTGAAATTCTTTATTATATAATGGAACACCTCAAAACAGGCATTTAAATGAGTTAAAAGGGTATTTAAGCACATGCATACTCATCCAAACAATATAGTGGTAGATTAAAAACATGTATGACAATATAAAAAGAGCATTAGGTCCTCTTCACTTAAAATCTCCCATGGAGATTTTGAAAAGTTGGCAGGTATGCTGCAACATGTACTGGTTACCACTAGTGAACCAAACAACATGCACTGGTTACCACTATTGAACCCAACAACATACACTGGTTACCATTATTGAACAAAACAACATGCATTGGTTACCACTATTGAACCAAACAACATGCACTGGTTACCACTATTGAACCAAACAACATGCACTGGTTACCACTAGTGAACCAAACAACAGGCACTGGTTACCATTATTGAACAAAACAACATGCACTGGTTACCACTAGTGAACCAAACAACAGGCACTGGTTACCACTATTGAACCAAACAACAGGCTCTGGTTACCACTAGTGAACCAAACAACATAAGACATGTACTGGTTACCACTAGTTAGGCATGGACCATTTGACTTTCGGGGGGGGGCCTGGGTTTTTGTGAAAAAAAATAATCTGGCCTCTTTTTTGACAAAAAAAAAATAATCTAGCCTATTCAGTTGCTAAAAAAATATTCTGGCTTCATCTTCAGCGAGTATGACATGTATGATGTATTTGATGAAAATATTCTTGCTTTGGATTGACTGAAAAAAATATTCTTGCTCGGTTTGCATGATAAAAAAAAATCTGCCTTGATATAAAAACCCAGCCCCCCCGAAAGTCAAATGGTTCATGCCTTAAGCAAACAACATTCAACATGCACTGGTTTTATTGTTACCTTATTTGTGTCTCTTTGGAAATTCCATATCTTTAGACATGAATATAGGAGTAGCATATCCATATATAAACGATTTTTTCAGATTATTAAGTACATTATAACCTGCAGTTTTCAAATGATACCAAATCTACAAAACATACCTTGTATTTTACCTGAGGTTATCATGTTGTAGTCTGTGTACCAAAGAACCAAGCTAATTCATATTTGGAAAGCCTACAAATTTTTGCTTTGGGTATTTTTGTTTTTAATGCAATAGTTAGAGGAATGCAACAAATATTTTGGCTCTAGTACTGAGAGTCATACTTTTTCTCGTTATCATATTATAAGACACCTGTCAATTGTTGAAGACTGTATCAAGAGACATATATCTATAAATCAGGTGGGATGACTCGTGTGAAGATGAAGATTTCTAATAACACTGTCTTGTCCACTGAGGCCAGAGACTTTTATATCTTTGTAACTATCCTTATGATTGATTGATTTTACCTTTCATTTAAAAGTAGAATTTCTTCTTTCTAGAATTTCTTACTTTTAGCTCAATTATGAGCCACAAGTACTTGGTTAGCAGATTAAAATTCTTTTAATGTTTTTCCAATTTTTATTTTAGCATTTCCTGTCTATAAGTATTTGTATTACATTTGTTCTTCGAGCAATGTGCAGAAAACTATCCATATCCGTATACTGAAAAATCCTGAAATAGAATTTTTCAGTTTCAATCTAATTAAAATTTAGTTCTCTGGTTTCATTATACTCGTATGTACGAGCACGCTAGTTAAAGTAGGTCTGAATTTTAATCAGATTGTTTCAGTATACGGATATACACATTGCTAGAAAACAAATAAATATTGATGCCAACGTTAAATGCGTTAACAATGTAATACAAATGGGGGGGGGGGGGGGGGAATTGAGACACATTAATTAACAAAATTTTAATCTGCTAACCGAGTCCCTGTGTTGTGAACTATTGCAATGCTTTCATGTCGATCTGGCCCTAAGTAATTGACCCGGCCGCCAAGTCGTTCCGGTAGAAGAGGATACGGCCAACATTTAAAGTCGATCCGGACCCTTTTTAAAATAATTACAAGGGATAAAAAAGATATATATATTAATGAACTTTATGAATGATAGCAAAGGCGGAAGACCAACAATTGTGCCTATGACGCATAGGGAAATATATTATTTTCACAAGGGAGACATTTATTCGATTTTTTCTAAAAATATATTAATTTTTTTTAATGTGAAATATGTATATTCAAATCAATTTATCACCTTAAATGAAAACGGATAAGTAAGCAGTATAAAGCATTTATGTTGATTACGATTTTATTAGAAGTTGTCAAGAATATTGTGTATGCATAATTATACTAAAAAACATATATAACAGAAAGTGAGTATAATAAGTCAACATTAATCAACAAGTTTTCATTTGACTTTGACCTAAACGTGGCATCGTTAACTACTAGTATTTGTATAAAGCTTTATATTTTAGGGGGTAGAAGACCTGGACTTTGCATGCCTTGTGTTACCAAGTGTATGTCTTTTATATGTCCATTGTCCTTGACTTCATCTTCATGGTTCAGTGACGGCTTAAAACGAGCAATAGGATAACTATATTTGGTAGATGTATTAAACCTTCAAAGGGCTACATGCCCGTCAGACTGTGTTCACCTGACCCGGCTCCAAGGTTAAGTTTTCTTGGTAAATTCTTTATCTCAGATACTATATGCAGTTGAGCAACTTCATTTGGTGTATGGATTGATTGTAAAGTGTACATATCCGTCTGGCAGGTTCTCATTTTCATGGCCCATTGGTCAATCTTAATTTCTCATGGTAAGTACGATCTTTTTCTTAGCTACTATTACTATAAGCATTAGGTTAACCATCTTTGGTGTGTGGAATGATTGCATGGTGTACATGTCTGTCTGGCAGGTTCATCTGACCATGACCTCATTTTCATGATTCAAAAGTCAACCTTATGTTTTTTCATGGTTAAATTCGTTTCTGAGATACTATAATCAATAGGACAACTATACGTAGTGTATGGAATGATTGCAAAGTGTACATGCTTGTCTGGAAGAGTTCATCTGACCTTGACCTTATTTTCATGCTTCATTGATCAGAGTTTAGTATTTTTGGTTAGAGCTGTTTCTCAGATACTATAGCAAAAAGTTAACAATAGTTGGTGTATGGAATGATTGTAAGGTGTACATGTCCGTCTGGCAGGGTTCAACTGACCTTTACCTTATTTACATGGATTATTGATAATGTTAATTTTAATATATAATATTTGTTGTATAACCTTTTTCTCTAAGACTTTCAACATAAATTAATTCATAAGTAAAGTAGGCGAGACATTTCAGCGTGATCATTCTTGTGATTTTTGACATTTGGATTGATCTTTAGGCAATGTGTTTTGTAACATTTTACCCTGTATGTGGTCCATCTATTTTCAAGTTGAACGGGTTTGGCCGTCCTCAGATGATTTTTTGATGTGTAAACTAAGCCATTTCCCCAAAAAGGTTGTGATGAACTGGTACAGGTTGGGACGGAGTTCCCCATAAGTGTTATAACAATCCAGTTGGGATATAATATTCCGGCAAATGGAATATATATTTTCAGTGCAAATTGAAAAAGAAAATATTAATTTTTAAGCAAAAATATTCAAAAGTGAATGGCTAAATAGCAGCTTTTGGTTTGGATCTAAAAGTTTCCCAGTGAATAATTTGCTAGAGTGATCCGACTGAAAAACTGCAATCTTAATTCAAATCTAATAAACAGTCGGGTTTCCAGAAAGTTTTTGACAAAAGTTGCTGCCCGTTTTATGTAATCAATTCGTGATGTTTTTTTCATAATATGTTTTTTGGACATAAAATTCATATCCCATTTTGGGATGTTTTATCCCAGACGAGTTATTTTAACCATATATATAGGTTTATACATCTATGTTGTAACCCATTTTGACGATTGCTCCAATCTAGTTCCATCCAGCAGTATCGCAAGTCCAACAGAGTACCTCTGATAGTATCTTATTTAAAAATCGATATATATATATGTTGTTTTTAGAGCTATCGAAAATTACATTGATCATAAATGGGGCGTTTTTGCTGGGTTTTTTTGTAGACTTAAAAACTTTAAACAGCAAACAAACAAAACAAAATTTGATCGAGCATTTATGAAATTAATAAACAGCTGTCAGCAACAAATTTAACAATACATGTAAAAAGATCGAAACAGTTAATATATTTTAAAAAGCGTCATGACAATGAGTTGGTGTCATGAGAAATGAACTTTTGCCTGAGATTCCTGATTCAATCAGTTCAATATGCCCTGGAATGATTCTGTTTTGTTTGTTCATCTCAGTGACATATGATTAGTGCCAGTGACACATGGCATTCGACGGAATAGTTTAAAGAATTGTACCTTCTTTGTTCCTTTGAGTTTGCTTGATTTATGTCTTATATCTTGGTGTATATCTTCAGCTTTATGAAATGTTATGTTTTCAATTTCTGCACTTTCTGCTGAAGATCTACTATCAACTGATTCGTCCGATTCTTCTAACTGTTGGTATCTTCTTTGAGAGAAACTGTCCACAAGCTCTTTTACTCCTTTTTTGGGGTTTGGCACACTGTGTCCGTTTTCAAATTTTCGTATAAGTATATTTTGGTTTGACTGAAAACTTGAGTTCAGACTTTTTTTCAATGAGGAATTTGGTTGCTTAATGTTTTGGTGTACATCTACCGCCTTGTGAAAGACACCGTTAGAATTTTCACTTTTTGACTGACTGGACGACAAATCATCTTCTAGGTCATTGAAAAACTCGTCAGAATCATCTAAATGCTGGTAACGTTTTTGAGAAAAAGTGTTCACAATTTCTTTCATTTCATTTGTAGGGTTTGGAATACTTCCATTTCTGTGGGACAGCGTCGGACTGTTTTTGACTGGCCTCGATATTTGTATTGAACAATCTGTATTATCCTTCTCAACATGAAATCTTGGCTTGGTGGCTGTTTCCTGATCGTTTTCAAACCCGTAGTCATCGTCAGACGAATCATCATCTTGAATTGTACTGTCGCGTACAGGGAAATCATTATGGTCCGACATCTGAGTATTTTTTTTCCATGTTATAACATTATTGTCTTGATCCAGAACACTTCTAGCTGTACCGTGATCATTTATTTCGTTCTCTTCACTGAACTTAGAATAACTCCTACCACGTAGTAAATTTGTCACCGAACTAAATGTTACTCCAGAGGACGCCTCCCTTAATTTCTTCCACATTTTGTTCTATTAATTTATTTATTCCAGTTTTACATGTTTATATATAGTAATACAAATCCAATGTTGATCAATTCATCGACGTAATCCGATTTTTCTTGTAATCTATAGATTTTGGATTAAATGTTTGTGTAATAATATGCGTCCTTGATTGCTATACTCGGGTAAAAATGCAATGCCATACACATAAACAGTGACAATACAGGTACAACTGTATACGTACATATTAAGTAGTCCATTTAACAGTATACCTGTAGGTCATATCCTACACACCTATTATTTATGTTTACATGTAGCGATTATAAACATACACATTGTTGATAAAAGAGATATGTAACCATTAAAAAGTCATATAACCACAGTTCTGGATTAAATTGATGTCGTGAATCAGTGTATTGATTCACAGCTGAACTACAGATGAAGTGATAATGAAAAATTCAAACTGATAATTATACTGATCAATAAAAGACTCTGAATAAAATAATAATTTATTATACAAAGAAAGCAGTACGTCGGTTCATGTTATTTCTAGCTTTTTTTCTTGAGAATCGGAAAACAGTGGGCGCAAATGCTGAATTGAGGCTATTTTCTGTCAGCCAATAAAAGTTATCAGACATACAGTACAATATGTCTGGGACTATTGTATAATAGTCCCAGAATATGTATTACAATATGTAATTTATATGTCTCTGAAGATACAAGATCAAGTAGTAAAAACTTTTATATACCAGGAATTAAAGGGTGTGAATCAACCACTTTCTTTTATAATGGAATAAAAGACTGAAATTCGTTACCAGACACGATTAAAAGTTGCTCCAAAAAATATAATTTTAAAGTGCAGGTGAACAAATTTTTGATGGATAAATTTAAATCCATCTTTAATAGTGAATTTGTTTTTTATTAATTATACTGGGGCTTTGACCATTTATCTGTGATAAATTCTAAATGATTTGTGCTTGTATTTTCTATGTGTCAACCCTTGGTGTAAACTGGAAGTCTCGTTATAAAAGGACCCCACTGGAAATAAGTTTTACTAACTTTTGTGGGTCATCCTAAGATATTAGGCTACAGTGTAAAATCTTTTCAAGTTAAACTTCACTCATTTTTAATCTAGTCTAATCATATTATCAAAATATCATGAAAATTTTCATAATTTTATTTTTTATTTTCTTAATTTAAAATTTTTAGTAAACATGTATATCATTTTAGTGTCTATAAACTATGTCTAGTGCTGTATCTATGTCTTTGTAATATTTTGTATCTGTCAAATTCATGCCTTTTTATCTTGAATAAATATATATATATATAAATATAAATATATTTTTGGCTATCGATAATCACCACTTGACCACAAACTTGACCAAGGCGGGGATCGACGACTATTAATGAGATATTAAAGAAATATACGATTTTCTTTTTTTTTTTTTTGGGGGGGGGGGGGGGGTGTTTGCGCTAACATTTATTTTTAATCTGATATCTGATTGCGAGGCATGAGATTTTATTTTTAATTTTATTGCGAGGAATGATATTTTTTTTTAATCTGATTGCGAGGAATGATATTTTATTTTTTGACACGATGCCGCATGAATGATTATTTTCATTTTTTATGAACACAAATTTCCAACATTTTTGTGTGTCAGGATATTTATTTTCAAGCTGTATTTGGAAAGCCTTATATATTTCTGCTAGATGCAGTGTCATGTCATTCATTTTCAAATCCCCACTTTTATTTTTTCAGTTTTGCCAGTTGTATTGTCAAGACATTTATGTTTATACCCATCAAATACTGCATGGTCATTCCTCTGTATATGCAAGTGTCAATAAAAGAGCAAACAGTTTAGAAATATTATATTGATGTCAATATTATACTTCCATGTTTAAACCATGCCGGATGTAATAAAACGGTGCAGAGAGCGCCGTCGATTTATTGACGGCCGCGGCATGAGAGCATGCAGTGTAAAAAATTTCAATGATTGGTGCGTGCACTATAGTGCCTTCTAGATGGTTCCTATCGATCAATGTTTTAACAAAAAAGGAGTTGAAAATATTGAGGTGTTTTGCTTGTTGGAATGCCAAAACACTTTGTATTTTTTTTAGTTGTTTTTATACAATATATGTTGAATGGTATAGTTTTCAAACTTCGTGACAGTAATTGTTCTCTTTGGAAGTGTTTTCTTGAGATATTCGTCTGGTTCTATAGCATGAACGAACCAGCCCCTTAACCACACTGTACAAACATATATGATATCTATATATATATATATATATATATGTGAGTTTATATAGGCGTTTGGCTTGAGCGTCTTATCTGGAAATCTTGAGGTTCCAGTTTGGCAAGCACATAGAAGACACATCCGTCTCCTTTCGATCTGTAGTCTCCTGTTTTGAATCTTACTGCCTGTCGATATATTCTATCGTTCCATACTCCCTTGTAGACATGACAAGCGATAAATATATTCAGTTTTCTTGCATTTCTGTTGACAGTATCTTAAATTCCTTCTCGGGAAGCCTAATGCCGAGCTCGACTTTTTCGCTACGTTGGATATATGACTGGTAAATTTTAGGTCTAATTATAGCTGTAAATGTCTATGGCTTATAATAAACAAAAATATGATTAATTTAAGAATGAAGGATGATAATGGATGGCTGTTAAACCTCTAGGGGCGAGTTGAATGTATATTCCTTACGAGAACATGTGGATAATGAACCATGTTTTGTACAAGACCGATACGATGACAGAGCCGGGTTTTAAACGCGCTAGTCCGCAAGAAGACATGTCACCCTAACCGGTCACATAATTCTGACTCGGGGTCGACCATTCTTTGCTCATACTCCTAAATGCCGCGTGCTTAGAGGAGAAGCAGCGATTGCCAATTTTCAGGTCTTAGGTTTGATAAGTCCGGAAATTGAACCAATGGTCTTCCGCACTCGAGGCGAGCATGCTGCCATAAGACCACCGATAAAGCATACACAATTATAAAAGATTTATTTACATATAACAATACAACATAAGCTCTGTAGAGCTTTTAACCGAAATACAATGTCGATATATGATTATGCTTAGACTAGTCCTATAATATAAGACTTCGGAGTTTCATATCATTTACATTCAACGTTTTTTATCGGATATTTTTTTTTACTATCAATCAAATTCGGGTTTTAAAATATTGTACAAAATGTTCATGAATATTCTTAGTTAAATCACAGGACAGAAAGAAATGACAATCATCATCAATTTTCATATTTTTTACATCTATTGCATAATTGTTCTTCTTTTGTCATTTTTCAATCTGCCTAGTTCAATACAGTAGTGTAGGACCAATGATTCAAAATTTTGTGTGCCATCTTCAAACCTAAATTTTTTGATGGTTTATATAATATGCAGTATAAGATTGATCTGTTTTTATTCATTTGTTTAAATATCTGGATATTGTCTTGAAGATTTTCACTTTTATCTCTTAAAATATTTTATAATATGAATCAGGTTCATGTTTGATAAAGTTCGAAATTTTATCGAGAAGACACATGCAACGTCCGTAAATAATCTAATATAATGAATTATAATGACAAATTGGAAACATAAAACTGTTTGTCAAAATGGTTCAACATTATGATCAGTATGCGAGAAAAATCAAGGTTTAAAAGTACACCGTTATTACAAAACTACAATAAAGTTATTTTGTTTTAGTTTAATCAGAAACTTTGCGAAAATGGGAATATTTGTAAAAATTGTATATTTCGGAAAGTGAAAGATCGGAAACCACTTTTTGATGATCGTGAAAAGGGTCTTGAAAGATCTGTTGCCGCTTTTTTTTCTCAAAAATCCACGAAAACCGATCAAATCAATAATTATGATTGGAAGGTGGTTCCACTCTTGTATAGTCCGAGGGAAGTATGAGTACTGTTAAACTCTCTGGTTTGCTGGTGGTTGGTATAGACGTTGTTTTCCTCTAGTACGTCGATCGTTTGGGCGTAAGATGGAACTGGCATCAATGTCCACTAGCCTATGCTGGATCTTGTAAAGCACGATGAGTCGATGGTTATTTCGTCTGGAATCCCACCCTAGTGTCTTGATCAAATTTGTGACACATCCTGGTGTTTTGTCAGTATAGTTGTTTGTTACAAACCTAGCGGCCCTCCTTTGTACTTGCCATAGTCGATTTATGTCCTCGGTGATATGAGGGTCCCATGCCGCACTTGCATTTCCAAAGTTGGTCTTACCAGAGATATATAAGCTGTATTTCTTACGTTTTTACTGCATCTTAGGTTTCGTCTACGGAATCCAATGGATTTAGATGCTTTTTTTTGGCAGTGACGTCAACATGATGTTTCCATTGCAAGTCCTCGCTGAATTTACTCCTAGGTATTTGCTGGTTGGTACAGTTTCGAGAGCGTGGCCGTGTAATTAGTAGTATGCTTCTCTTTTGAATTTAATGCTGGTGCTAATGCTAATGACGGTGCATTTTTCCGGATGAAATTTCATCTGTCATTTGGTTTCCCAGTCTTCTCGTGCTGAGAGGTCCTGTTGTAATTTGGCTTCGTCCTGGGAATTCCTGATGTGATGGAAAAGAAGGCAGTCGTCAGCGAATAATTAGACAGTCGAAAGTTGAACTGATTCTGGTAAGTCATTAATGAATAGTATACTAAGAAAAGTAAGGGGCCTAACACAGTACCTTGTAGAACCCCTGATAGTACATCTCCCAGTGATGACTTCCAGCCCTCAACTACCACTTGTTGTTTCCTGTTTTCTTAGAAGAAAGATTTTATCCGTTTTAGGTTTTCGTCTCTGATGCCATAGTGGTTGAGTTAATTGAGTAATCTGCAGTGTGGGACTTTGTCAAAAGCCTTTGCAAAATCGAGTAAGTTTACGTCCATTTGATCTTTCCCTGATTTCAGTTGTTTGGCAATTCCTTCGATTGTTGATATCAGTTGTGTCTCACAAGATCTACGAGCTCTAAACCCATGCTGATTGTCTGTTAAAATGTTATGCTGTTCTATAAATGTGATGACTGAGCTGTGGATGATGTGTTTCGAGAAAAAAAAAACATTTTTTTAAAAACCCGCAGTAAAACAACAGTTACTGTCATGTTCCTGACTTGGCACAGACATTTTCCTAAGAAAATGGTAGGTTAAACCTGGTTATCTAGCGATCTAAAACGCCCACTTGTATCACAGTTGTTTAATGTTCCGTAAATTTGCCTAATTGGGTGAGCAACCCAAACAGACATAATTGGTTAACGTGGCCATAACTGGGATCCAGCAGCCAAAACTATGTAAACATACATCACAGACATACAAAACAACCAGGGGCGGATCCAGGATTTTGGAAAGGGGGGGCGTAGTATGTAAAATTCGCCGAGCGGAGCGAGGCGAAACATTTTTTGGATTTT